TGCCAAAGCAAAGATGAAATAACTTATATAAAATCTGAAAAATGTCAATAAAACTGAAATTTATTATCCCAACCCTAAAATCGCAAGAATCTCCATAAAATCAATCAAAATCAAGTTATCCAACAACATTTAAAGAACAAAAGGAGCTTCTAATGATTATACCTTCCAACACCTTGAAAACAAGCAAGACAAACCCTTTTCTTCTCAAAACACTCCAACCTTAACTTGCTATCACCTTAGATGCGAAGTTAATCGGGGTAGATTTTGGTAATTGGAAGAAATCTCTCAAGATTTGGTGAAGGAAATCAAAGGAAAATGGAGTTTTCTCTCTTGGTCTTGCTCCTCTTGAGGTTCGGCCAACTAGTAAGAAAGAATGAAGGGTTTTTGTGCTCCAAATGAAGTGATAAGAATGAAAACTTAAGTGCTCGAAGACTAAATGAAAACGCGACACGTGGCACTACTTTGACTAATGCTTATCTCTTGATCTTTCTTCTTAGTTTCTAATCACTCATCTATGTGGTGTTCCTCTAGCTCACTCTTAACGCTTCTAGGCATATATTCCTTGGTATATAACATCCGTTCATGTCCACTGAATTTAATACACACTTACTAGTGAGCCACACTACCAAAATGCACTATAACTAAACACGCACCACAATATAAAATCAAACAATTAAAATTTAACTTAACCATAAAAATACCTTAGAAATTAAAAGATTTAAACTGGAGTAAGTCAAAATATTATTTAACACATGCAAAACGAGAAAAGAATTAAATTTTTTTTTTCAATATCTCACACTTAGTCCATTTTGATTTTCATTTCATGTCTCATTTGTATTCCAACTCTTAATTTTACATTGCTTAAGATTCAATTGTACATTTTGAATCTTATTTATACATTTCTAGTTTCACCTGTAAATTATACATTTCATTTACACACTATACCAACAATTCAAGCTTTTGCTACAGGGCTATGGCAAGTTACTTCTAGGATAGTGTCAAATATACCTCAAGATCATCATTTTCATCTCCAATTTCTTTATAAAATTTGTGCAATACAAATTTTTGTATTTTTTTTGCTGTAATATTTTTTTTTGTATTTGTATTACTTTGTGTACCATCTAAGACCAACAATTTTTTGGTGGCTAGACACCCTTTAATAGATGTTGCTTAGTGATATATTATCCAACACAAGAAGTTTCTATTAGTGTCGTTAGCGTAAATGAAGTGCCAATGACACAAGCCAGTTGAACTCTACTTTCCTAGATGTTTACACGCTTTTAGTTATACATTATGACCATTTCTTTTTTACTCTATAACGTACTTTCGGGAAATTTGCCATGTTATATTTTTTTGAAAAAATCGTTTAAAACATCGATCACATTTTATCACATGAATTTTTTCGTCTTTCATTTTTAAAATGGTAACTTTAGATCTCTTACATAATCAAGTCAATAAAATTTTTGGTCCCAACCTAAGTTTTTATCTTGAATTCATCACATAACCCACACATAGTCATTTGTTAGGAGCCAAAAAAGTTAGATCCCATTTGTAGTTAAACAAATAACCTAATTTATGTTTATTTTTGCCTTTAAAAAAGTAGGATATGACTTAAATCATATTCATTTTTCTCCTAAAAAAAGGATCTGACTCAATCTATATTAATTTTTCCACTAAAAAGTAAGATATGATCTTTTTTTTACATTAAAAATGATTGTATGTGAGTCACGTGATGATTTTCACGCTAAAATTGGTTGGAAATTTAGGTTGAGACCAAATTTTACTAATTTGACTTTATAAGAGACGTCAGGTTAACATTTCAAAAGTGATTGATGAAAGAATTCAATTGGCAAAATGTGAGGAATGTTTTAAACTATTTTCTCTAATTTCTTTTGCAAGTTTATGATGTCTTTATTTGATAGATAGTTTTAGTTGTTTAACTATAAAATAAGACTCATTCTTTTAATAACATTCAAACAAATTCGTCCACTTTTAATATGATAAAAATTTTGGTTAAACTTCAAATAATGACATTTATGCGGGTAGAGTGGAAACTAGGGTAATTACTTTTAACAATAGGGAATTTGTACAAGAATTCTATGATATACATATCTAATATATTTATATAAAGATTTTCAATGTATTGATAATGTGAGGGGCCAATTACGCTTGATCAAAACCAATTACGCTAAAATTAAATTTTTGAATACTACAAAAGTATAATGAAACATATTAATTACTAATTATAGCGCTCTTGAGTATAGGTCTAGTTAGTGCTTAGATTTGGGTATGAATTAGGGTTTGGATCCTACTAAATCAAACCCCTCCTAATTTTCTTACAAGGTCTGGATTTAGGTAAAATTTGGATTTGGAAATTTGAGTTCAAACCCATTACAAACATGATGAGTTTGGATTGAATCTAGATGAGACCCGACTCACCTTGATATGTCTAGACATGAATATAATTTACATTGTCATTTTTGATAGTCTATGAAGGAATGAATCATCCATCTAATAGAAGAGAATTAAAAGAGGCAATTTTAAAGATGTAACAAGGGGCTCACCTATGTATATCGACCAGAGTGGGTGCCCACGGGTAGAGTAATGGGTCCGGTGTAGGGATTTTTCTCCCTCTGCTTTAGATAAAAAAATCCTTATACTATATAAGATTGAGTTTTTGTGAGCATTTCAACCGCACAGGCAGGGGCCTTTTGGGAATATGGAATATTGTGGTGTATTTTACAAGCTATAGGTATAAGTGAGGGAAGCTTGTGGTTAGGTATATTACCCAAAATACCCCTACCTTAAGTCAATCAGACAGCCGTGACCACTTTACTTGGTGGAATGCCCAATTAATGTTCAACCGTAATTGCCTTTCGTACAACCTACATATGCGCGTGTGTTAGTGTAATTACTGTAATATCCCTTAACTAATAATTAGTGGGGTTTTTGAATTTTTGAGCCGTTTGCTGTGTCTGAAACGCTTGACTGGTTGCTGTACCCTCATGAATGCTAAGGCTTTGGTCGGAACCCATTTCTTGCTCATTTACATCTGAATTAAATGGCCATAAACGTGGGTCTGTTTACTTCCCTTTGAGCTTCAATGCTTCAATTCTCTGTTTTTGGCTTTGACTACTCCGCCTTGCCTCATCGTTTCCCTCTTCATCCAAGCTCAACTCTGAATTGCCCATTTGCACTTCATTAATTACCCCCCAACTCAATAGCCAAACCGCCAGTATGTTAATGGTGAACCCGTCGCTCATCAGTTTCACCCTTTTTGCATTCTGCAACTGGGATATTTCTTGGTGGCTTCATGCTAAGCACCTCGAAATGTACTTCAGCCGCAGCTATTCCTGGTGGTTCAGTTTGAGGTGAGACTTGTCCCCTCAAATTTTCCAGCCCTCCCCTTAATTTTGACGGTTTGTTGTTAATTCCTAGAATTATAGACTCTTACCGTGTATTTCAGCTGCAAGATAGCATTTTCCGTACAAATCCGACTGTCCTCTGTAATTTGACTAGTTGTCTTATATTTGTATAGGTTTGGAGCAACATCCAGAAGGAGCTCTCGGTAGGGATTCTGCCATAAGGTTAGTTTTTTGACATACTCTGCCTTTCTACAGTGTGCACGAATTTCATTTTCACAGAGTTTGATTGTCGTGATTTGTGATGTGCTTGATTATATCATGTATTGTTGATTTGACTATGTAGACTTCACTTGATTCACTGCTAAATGATTGCCTTATTTTATATTGTATAAGAATTGATACTTATGCTGTATTGCAATTCTGAAATTGCTATAAAGTTAACACCACCTTAACTCCCAATCTTAATGTGGAATTGAAGCCTTTAAATTGGCCTCAAGGTTGCCTTTTCTTACCTCCTGCCTCATATTTATCTCATTGTTGCAATCTCCAATTCAGCCAACATTGCTGTGCAATCACACTTGCACCTGCTCTCTCTTGATCTTAATGCAAAATTGAGGCCTTTTAATTGGCCTCAAGGTTGCCTTTTCTTGACCTCTGCATAAGTCATATGAACCTTTTTACCAGGTTTATACAATTAAGTCAGCAACCAATATGAACTTCTGTGAACAAATTCAGACAATCCTTTATGAGATTTATTAAGTCTCATCTACTCTCCGGCTCCTTAACTCAATCTCGAAAATATTACAGCCTATGCTTTCTGGAAAATTTATAGAAGAAAGCAGACTTAATAAGTAGATAGGTAGATAGGAATTTAGACAACGAGGTGCTTGTACAGTTTGAGATTATACATAGGTCAGGGGATATATAAGTTTCAGTTTATAATAGCCACTGGTCTAGCTTCTTCAACAGCCACAGGTCTGATTTCATCACCTCCTTCCCCTGTCATCCATGGATGCGCTGAAGTAACAGATCAGAGGATCAAAATTCCAGTTAAGTTATACCGAAAGTTAATAATATATAGGATTTCTAGACCATAAATTAATCCTTTCATTTTGGAGATATCAAGATAAGGAGTAGGAATTGACCGCAAGGCTGAACGTGAAAACGCTGAATATTTTTTGTTCATCTCCCATTCTTCATACAGTGATTGAACCCAACCTCCTAAAACTCTCGTCACTTTGGCATCTAAGCAGACAATTCCATTGCGAACCTTGGCATTATTCTCCAACAGAACTTGACAAAAATAAACAAAAAATACAAGAAAAAAGTAGTTATAACAACAATACTGCCAACAGCTTCCCCCATTCCCCAAACCAAAAGGCCAATAAAAAGGGAGGAACCCATATATGCAGCATTTCCTGAATCTTTTTTTTTTGGGCTTCCTGAATCACTTATTGACAGCATTATCCTAAATCACTTATTTACAACAATTTCCAAATTATGAAGTAAGACATTGGTTGAAAGCCAGTGCATTCTTGTAGAGTAGAAATTTTTCAAAGAAATCATATCTAAGCATCAAAACTGAGAGATAATCTAAAAGCAAACAAAATGACAGAGACAAGTGAAATGATATACCTTAGTGCCAGGCACTACGTCATCTGGAATTGATGACAGATGAGAATACTCTACGGCAACTATTTCAGTTTGGTCATCAGTAAGGTTGAATCTCAGCAGGCACCTATTACTCGAATTTTCTAAACTCTCAGCCATATTGCTCTTACCTATATCTCTAACAGAATATATCTGTAATTTAAAAAAATAAAAATAAAAATACACACGGATGGTTGGGCGGCGAGAAAAAATTAGGATCTTGCTGTCTTATATGGTTTACCTGAAGGACTTTGGGGCCTTGTAGATGCATAATGTTTAAACTCATACTAGCACTCCATAATGTTATACGTCTCTCTTTCCCTCTGTTTAAAAGGACAACAAATTATGCATAGATTTTTGTAGAAAAATAGTAACTGTTATTAATAGAAAAGGTCAGCGTCAAGATCCTTATTCAAGGAACAGAAGAGATGATCACCATTGTGTGCATAAACTACAGCCTCAACCTTTCATCTGCCTTCCCCCTCTCCCTTCCATCCATCCCACAATTAAGAAACAAAGCTAGGATGCAATGTTGCCTCAGTACGATACGTTCCCTTCTGATATACTATTCCTTAAGGCACCTAAACCTTCATCCAAACACAGAGTCTGGTAGGATCAACTGCAATGACCAAATAATTTTCAGTTCCGCTCATTCTAACCAAGTCATCACAACTGGTGACTGGAAAAAATTACAGCTACAATAGCACTATATGCTGCCCCATTCATTCAACCTCTAATTTCTGAGTTGCGCCAATTCGTAATTGAACCAAACTGTGTATTGTAGTGTAAAGGAAACACGATAGAGCACAAGAGAACTAACCATTCCGATATAAACTTTTTAGAAGCCCAACTACGAATGACTTTGCTAAATGCCTATGACATCAGGGAAATGAAAATGAGAGGTATCGTAGGACATGAGCAGATGAATCAGGCTTAAAAAGTCTTGTTTCTTACATATAACCCTGCCCTTTTTCTCCACAACACATAATATAATAAAAGTCTTTTTTTTTACTTTAGTTTCTCCTTATTCTGAATTCATCGTCTTATTCTTTTTGAATCAATTTTGTAACCACAAGTGATACATTTGTCTAGGAAGCACCAAAACTGGAAGCAAAAAGAATTAAAATGTATCCAGAAGTAATTGGGACCAAAGCTGGAATCAGAACTAGAGGCTCTAAAACCATAACTGTAATTGTTCTTAAAGGTTCGATTCTAATTCCACCTTTCAAAGAAAATGAAAGCCGGCATTTCTAAAATCATGACCACCCCTATTCCTTCCTTTTCTCCTTGCAATATGCAATGGTCCAACCCAATCTTTACCAGTTTGGCCATTTACTTGAAAACTTCAAGATGCAATGTAACTAAAAGTTCCAAATTCAACTATCATACACTTCCCTTTCTCCTTTTTCCTATTGTATTACTTAGAATCCCCTTTAAATCGAAAAGATCATTACAAATTATATTGGTCCAACCCTGTTTCAATGCTCGTTGTTTATTAATTAGCTTACTATATTCAGAAGGAAAACTAATCAATGGAAAGCTATCGTGCCCTCTTAATTTCAAGGGTAATTAGCAATAATATTGAGAGTTCAAAATTGGATAATTCATTGTTAAACTTGGTAACAAACTAAATAACAGTTTAAATAGCTATTACGGTGAGAATTATTGAGAGGCAAGAAAAACTGGTTAACTATGCAAAATATAGGGCTAAAAAGGGGGAAAAAAAGCTTTACGTATGCCTCAGAATTATAATTATTACATACATCCATATAGATACATACATATCAAAAGATACTACAAGCTGTTCCATTGACCAGATCATAACTGGAGGTGAAATAAAAAATATGTACAGTAGAAATCTGATGCTTTTTTGTGTTGTATAGAAACCAATTAATCCTTACGGAAAAACCAAGAAGACGGCAGAGGATATTATTCTGGATTTTCCAATTAATTCAGTTCGGTAGAACGTGGGTCTCCAAAACCCGATGTCGTAGGTTCAAATCCTACAGAGCGTGGTTTTTTTATTCTTAGATATGAACTAGATTCAGTAATAACTTGAACACCCTCGTAGGAAACCTCACATTTGCCCTGAGAACGCCTCGAAAATCTCTGGGGCTGAATCACCAGAGAATGATGAAAATCCAGCCAGCATTATGTACAAGATCACACCAGCACTCCACACATCACCCTTTTCATCATAATGTCCACCAGCTACTACCTCAGGGGCCACATAATAATGCGCCCCCACTACTCCAGATATTAGTTGTCCATCAGCAATGAATACTGCTGAGCCAAAATCAGCAAGCTTAAGCTCATTCCAGTTATTAAATAGTACATTACCAGGCTTGATGTCGCGCTAGACCATCCCTAAGTGGTGATAATGTGCTATTTCCTCCATCAATGGTCTCTATAGATGATGAGGAAATGGCCATGAAAATTTAAGTTTGCTGCTGAAAATAGTAAACTGACAACATTAGTATTGTTGACATTGTTCATAAGATGCTAAAGTAAACACCAACTGAACTGCCACCGAGTAGTATATTCTAAGCGTCACGAATATATCCTTTTTGCCAGATTTAAACAATTGCATAAGAAAATCCACCACAGCCGTTACTCCCAGCCGCTCAGAACTCCCACTGAATCTGACTCTGAAGGACCCAGCCTATCCCAACGTCCACTTTCCTACTCACCCTTTGGTCTGGACAATATGTACTTAATTATTTCTGAAGAGACCAAGTAAATGTAAAGGCTGTGAAAGGAATGAAAAGGCATAGGCCAGATTAGATGTCTTGGCTACATATGTGATTTACTACTGCACTTGATACATATCTGTTGATTGTTATGCTTGAACATTTAGAAATCTGATTTATCTATGGGATGTTGTGCCTTGATTGTTATTTAGGATAGTGAATTCCTAAATAATATATGATGTTGGACATTTTCGCTGTTATTATTAATACCTTTATTATAAAAGACGTTTCACCCCCCGGAAAACCTTTAGGATGTATAATTATTGCGGTCTAAAATGACTATACTAAGTAAAGATAACAAGTTGGAAGAGCAAAAGCGACGGCGAAATGAGAGAGCAAGGGCTAAATATGCATCGTTGCCTGAAGAAGAAAAAGAGCGAGAGGGAGAAAAACGCTGAGATGCTTATAAGAGAAGAAAACAACAGGCCTGTGAGGATGAAGCTAGCAGGTTGTTATTACAGCAACCTTTAGAAGTGAACGATGGAGGCCAACAGAACAGTAGCCTTTGTTATACAGGTAGATGACTTTAAATAAGAAGAGGTAATCCCTAAGATACGTTTGACCAGGCCGACAAATTTTAATACATCATTTTTTAGATGCGCACGACCCTTGTGAAACAAGCTGCAAACAAACATCCCATGAAACTGAGACTCCGAACAACTGCCTAGGTTTGCAGATTGTAATTTGGATCAATTCCAGCACTAAACGAAACCTAAATGTATTATTAGAATCCAAGGCTGATGTGTTATACATACATATATAGGCGCAGCCCCAAATGTTTGCTGTCAGGCCCCTAGCCGACATGGAGACACACAAAAAAACTCAGGTTGATCCACAGTTAATAACTTAAAAGCTTTAGTCTAATTCCAACTTATATTTCACATATCCTATGTTAATCATATTCAAAATTGACACTTATAGATCAACCAGTGATATGCAGTAGCTGTACTGCCCTGTTGACAGATGCTATCAATGATTTACCAAGCGTGACTATAGCCGAAGGTAACACTCTAATAGAAAGTAATCACCTATTCCATGATAGATTACATTCTAAAACAGTAATCACTTGCAATTGTTGATTTAGGATCTTCATCTTCATTAGCTGTGAACACTCAGAAATCCTCCACTCAGAGGAAGATATTGAACCAGATGACAGGTTAAAATTTTCAGATATAGAAAATACCCTGCATTTTATACATATCCCCAGAAAACTAAACATTAATAAGAATGAGTTGTTTCTAACTATATCAAAATTATTGATTAGTGCCAGCTTCTGCAATGAACAAAGAAACTACAAAAAAAGGCGGTCTGGACGGCATAAACAAGGCGAATAAACATTTAAGAAAAGTGTTTCTAAATTCGCTGAATATACGTGCCAAAATCAAATTTTATCAAATGTAGGTAGCTCTGTGACTAAAGGAACTGAATTGTTATCCTCCGTTATCTTAGAAGTTGATACTTTACCTGAAGTAGATGACTGTAAGTATTGCGGGGCGAAAAAATTCTTTTCAGAGACTGCTAATTTTTGCTGCTCAGATGGAGAGGTAGTGTTGAAAGAAAATAAGCTTCCAGACATATTGATTGAATTGTTTACGGGGCAAACTGAAGAAGCTTTGTGTTTTAGGACATATGTACGAACCTATAACAACATGTTTGCCTTTACGTCATTTGGGGTTCACTATAACAAGTCATTATGTAAGAGGACAAATGGGATATATACATTCAAGATACAGGGACGGACTTATCACTACATTAATCAACTTATACCTCATGGAGGATCGGGGATGTTCTTACAACTATATTTCCATGACACTGAACATGAGCTTGCGAACCGAATGGCATTTTCTGCAAAACTCAGCGAGGCCATGGTCTTAAAGCTCATAGAAGTGATGAAAAATAACCCATATGCTCGCTTCTTCCGTAGTCTGCATCATGTCCCTAATTTAGAATCCCACCAAATAGTTCTCAAAACCCATTGTGATAGTGATCAAAGGGTGTTTAACAAGCCAGCTGTATCTCAAATAGCAGCGCTTTGGGTAGAGGGTGAAGGTGCGGAGCAAACATATTCAAGGCATATTCAAGTGTACACTAATGGTGGAGAAAGCCGTAGAGTTCAATACTACTATGGTTGTTACGATCCTTTGCAGTACCCTCTATTATTTCCCCTAGGTGAGACAGGGTGGCAACCAGGAATTAAGAGATCGGGGACTGGGAACCCAAAAAAACGAAAGAGATGTACTAAACATTACACAGATAATGCAACTTTACACAATTTCAGATTTGCCGATGAAGTGATACAACCTGAGGAACAAGGTCAGTAAAACAACCAAGATTAAAATTTTATCTATTACCCCTACGTTTCAGGCAAGTAACTAAAGGTAACTTTTGTCATTTTATGCATCAGCTTTCAGCCAATTTGAAGACTCAAAAGAATATGGGTCGATGAGGGAATATTATGCATATAGGTTTCAGATGAGAAAACAAAATACACCTGGTATTTTGAACACTGTTCGAGCATTCCAACAGTATGTAGTCGACATGTACGTGAAAATAGAAACACAAAGACTCGACTTCCATAGGAAGAGACAGAAATTAATAAGAACTGAACAGCTCCAAGGAGTAATGGACTCTGTTGTTGAAGGGGAGGCTAAGGGTTCGAATGTTGGCCAACGAGTGATCTTGCCTGCTTCATTTATAGGAGGACCTCGAGATATGAAAAGGCGTTATGTTGACGCCATGAGTTTGGTACAAAAGTATGGAAAGCCTGACCTCTTTTTGATAATGACTTGTAATCCTTCATGGCCAGAAATAAAAAAAAATATGCTGCCAACAGATGAATCACAAAATAAAGTTGATTTATGTGCTAGAGTGTTCCATGCAAAACTTGAATTACTGAAAGAGGAGCTCTTTAAAAAAGAAATTTTTGGAAAAGTTGCAGCTTATACCTATGTTGTAGAATTCCAAAAACGTGGATTACCCCATGCTCATTTCCTTATCATTTTACACCCTGCTTCAAAACTTTACTCAACGGAGTCATATGATCAAATTGTATCTGCTGAATTACCTGATCCGGTGGAACAGAAACATTTATTTAAAATGGTCCGGAAACATATGATACATGGCCCATGTGGTGACAAAAAGCCTGAAAATGTTTGTATGCAAGGAACTACCACCAAAAAATGTAAGAACAAATATCCTAAAGATTGGGCAGAGAAGACATTGCATGGGGAAAACTCTTATCCAACTTATAGACGACGACATAATAAAAGAAAAGTCTTTGTACGAGGTCATGAGTTGGACAATAGATGGGTTGTTCCATACAATGCATATTTTCTAGCAAAATTTAATTGCCACATTAATGTAGAAATCTGCTCAACAATAAAAGTGGTGAAATATACATACAAATACATAGACAAGGGTCATGACAAAATTCATTTCTTTGTCAATTCTGAAGCTAAATCTTTTGAAATAGATGAAATCAAAGAATACCAGGCAGTAAGGTGGGTTTTCTCGATAGAGGCAATTTGGCGAATTTATAGGTTTCCCTTGTTTGATATACATCCTGCAGTCATCCATCTTCAACTCCACTTAGAAAATTATCAATCATTAACTTTTAAAGATGATGCTGATCTCCGAGATTTGATAAAAAACAAGCATGCAAAAAAGAGTATGTTGACTGAGTTTTTTAGAATGAATGCTACTGATGAAACAGCAAAGACGCTGAAATGCACCTACAAAGAATTCCCTGAATACTTTGTATGGTACCCTGGGAAAAAGTTGTGGGAGGTTAGAAAACAAACAGACTGCATTGGGAGAATAGTGACTGCAAACCCAACAGAGGGAGAGCGATATTTCTTAAGGCTACTGTTGCTAAATGTAAAAGGGCCTAAGTCATTTGCTGACCTGAAATCATTCAATGGAGTTTGTGTGAACACATTTAGAGAGGCTGCAATCATGAGGGGTTTATTTGAGTCAAACAATCCTCAAGGGCAATGTCTAGAAGAGGCAGCCTTGTTTCACATGCCTTACAGTTTTAGGAGGTTATTTGCTACATTATTAGTCTATTTTCCTCCTGCTGATGCTAGATCATTATGGTTGAAGTTTAAAGGCTCCATGTCAGAGGATTTTGCTAGATTACCCTATCTATCTGCTGAGGAAAAGGAGCACAAGGTCCTTCATGAAATCAACAAATTTTTAGAGTCAATAGGAAAGAACATCAATACATATTCTTTAGTTCATAGAGTGCTGAAATTTGATCAGGCTGGAAAAAGTACACGAGATACAATGAGTGAAATGAGCATAAAAGTCACAGAAAATGATATATCTGCAATATCATTATTAAATAAGGAGCAGAAAGCAGCATTTAATTTGATCATTGAAGCTATCTTTGTGAAAAGTAAGGGTTGCTTTTTCGTTGATGGCCCTGGGGGAATAGGGAAAACATTTCTATATAGAGCATTATTAGCAGAAGTGAGGTCAAAAGGATACATAGCATTAGCCACTGCTTCATGTGGAGTTGCAGCAGCTATACTTCCAGGAGGTCGAACTGCACATTCTCGTTTCAAAATTCCGCTAGACATGAACCCAAATAAGATGTGCAAAGTGAGTAAACAAAGTTCATTAGCAAAGTTACTACAACGAGCAAAATTAATAATTTGGGATGAAGCACCGATGACACATAAAGCTGGAATTGAGGGAGTTGATAAATTATTCAGGGATCTAATGGACAGCTCTGAGATTTTTGGATCAAAGGTCATTGTTTTTGGAGGAGATTTCAGACAAGTATTACCAGTTATTGTTAGAGGGTCAAAATATGATTTTGTTCAGTCCAGTTTAATAACATCTTATATCTGGCCCGAACTCAAAAGATATAATTGAAAGAAAATATGAGAGCAAAATCAGACCCCAATTTTACAGAATATCTTCTTCGTATTGGCAATGGAATTGAACCAGTTATATATGATGAAAATGTTGAGATTCCTGTAAAATTGCTTATCAGATATACCACTGAAGAAGAATCTTTAACTGCTCTAATCAACACAGTGTATCCAGATTTTTCAATTTTTGCTGGCAGCAATTATTCGGGAATCAATAGAGCTATCCTCACTACAAAAAATGATTTCGTAGATGAGATCAATGATACCTTGATCCAAAACTTCCCAGGAGATTCTTTTGATTATATCTGCCGTGACACATGCTTAAATCCTTCTCAACAAGCAATTCTAGAAGATTTCATAAACAGCCTCACGCTAATGGTTTACCTCCACATCGATTAACTCTAAAGCAAAATACACCAATTATGTTGCTTCGGAACATTGATCCACCTGAGGGTCTATGTAATGGCACTAGACTTGTATGTAGATCATTAAAATCTAATGTAATAGATGCTATTATAAGCTCAGGTGAATTCAATGGAAAACAAGTCTTTCTCCATAGGATTTGCTTTAGAGTTGAAGATGACCCAAATTGTCCAATCTCTTTTGAAAGGATACAATTTCCTGTAAGGCTTTGTTTTGCAATGACTATCAACAAAGCTCAGGGACAAACTTTAGACTTTGTTGGTATTTATCTTCGTGAGCCTGTATTTTCACATGGCCAGCTTTATGTTGCCATTTCAAGAGCTAAAAATAGCAATTCTGTCAAGATCCTTATACGTCCTCCTATACATGATATTGCCTTGGACAGTTTGACTGCAAATATAGTCTACCAAGAAGTTTTGCACTTAGCTAATGCATAGTCTTATTAAACATATTGTTTAAATGCACCTGCTGTATATACATCATGCCCCAATATTATACTAACATAGTTATTTTCCTAGCTATTTGCAGCAATACTGCAGAGAAAAATGGACAGCAACTTGGTTCGGTTCTATGAGATCAGCCCAGAGTTAAGTGATTGGACTACAATTGGCCAAGTCCTGGAGAAGCAAAAACCTCAAACTTCAAGGAAAGGAACTACATATCAGAAACTGGTCTTTGTTGATGCTGAGGTAATAGTTAGGCATCTAAAATTATTTACTTTTATGTTACTCTGTCTTGTTCACAATTTCATTTCTAGATACCAATATCATTTCTAGATACCAATAACCCAAGATTTTAGCTTACAATCATAAAACTAATTTTGATTTGCTGTATAATGGATCTCACTCTAGAATTTGTTCAGCCTTATCGTACACAAACAGTAGCAAAAAACCCAAAAACTCCATGCTCAAGTTCTTCAGTTTATGTAGCTCCTACTATGACCTTTCTGATTATTCATTTTCCCTTTTCCATACTCAAATGTGTTTTAATTAAAAATGCTAAGTCAGGTGCTTAACTTCAAGACTTCCTGAAATGTCATCATAATTTGTGTTCCTGAAATATTAACTTCAAGACTTCATGAAAGGGTGCAGCTTCAATTTATTCTGGGTAATAGCTGCCAAAATTATCCCTTTTGTGACCATCCCCAGATCTAACCTCCTACTATGATTTTGTCCCAATGAACATATAGTTTGTTTTCCCCCCTTTGATTTTGTCCCAATGAACATATAGTTTGTGACCATCCCCAGATCTAACCTCCTACTATGATTTTGCTGTTGTACATTCCTTATCATTAAATTCTGCTTCCACCATTAATTGATGTGTAAGATTTTGTCTGCTGGATCAGAAGAATACGTAACTGAAATAAATAAAGCACCGAGTTAAAGGCTAAAAAAAGGAAAAGGGATCACAATCTCAGTTCCCGCAATTTGTTGTTATACCTTTATGTTATGCTTCATATATACTACCACTTTCTCATGTAACTGGAAACAGTTTTGATATTCAACGCTACTTTTTGGTAGTACAAAAAAAGGGTCTGGAAATGCCCATAGGAAGTTGTAGGCTTGTAACTACCATATGGGACAAGAGAAGATACAGACACAGTAGGGAAGCGGTGGGGGGGAATCAGGATAAGGGCATTATGGACTTAGGAGAACGCATAGGGAAAACTATATAGCCAACTATCGTAGCACCAATTTTTCCCTACTTTGGTTTAAAAAAAAGTAAAACTCTTGAAGTAGGAAATTTTTTCCTAATGTCTATTGACAGTGATGGAATCCATTGATTGCAATAGGTTATTAGTCATTTAGTACAAGGCCATAAATGTACTTAAATACATAGACATTACCAAAGGCTATAAATTCCCCTAAAGTATCAAAAAAGGCTGGTGTACGATTGGGTAAGGCTGGCCAACCTCACACTCAATTCTGTAGTGGGCAACCTTTTCTTGCCTCTGCCGTTATCCAACTCTCAGTCGTAGTTAGTAGTAGTTAATAAAAGACTTTGCATTAAACCAGATTAAGGCCAGCCATGAAATGAAATGAATTATAGTTTCTTTGTGTGCCTAGGAGAAAGTGCTAGTGCAGTGAAAAGCATTTGGTTGGCTCATGCTGCATTGAAATTTGTGTTATGTGTGTACGTGTGTTTTGGTTTGATCCATCACTACTGGGCCTACTGTGGATATATGTGTACTATCTCGACTACTGATCATATTCAGCAGGTCCTCCATTTCTCTTCTCTTATTCTCCTCTCTGCCTATCTGCCTTTTACTCTCTGTCTTTTTGCTTCTCTGCCGGCTGCTGCAGCTGCAGCTGTTTCTCATTCAGTTGGCCTTTCTGCCATTTGACCTACTTTGCGCTCAATTCGTGTTACTCTTCTCCTGGTTTATGCTTTTAGTGGATATCTACTTTCTGGAAATAACTGTTTCACTTGTTTGATAGGTTCTGCTATATATAGTATCTGCCTTTGCTCTTTAATAGGATTTTTGGGTCGTGTCTGATTCTTAATTCTTGGATACCAAACCATTCATGCTCCATTTCTTGTTTATTTGAGTTGACAGCGTGGTCCTTAGGCTGTTGGTATCATTCCTTCTTTAATCAGTCCTTAGGCTGTTGGTACTCCTAAATACTTTGTCTCCTGTAAACGACATGTGACGCAATGCCAGCCATTGTACTTTCTACAGAGGTTCTTAAAAATAACTAACCTTTGACATTCTACTCTTTTCTGCACGTCCCCTATTTGTCCGCTATTCCATTCTTGGATTTCTAATTGTTGCAAATGATCAGCTAAGTAATTTAGCCTTGTACATAGACTTTGAACTGATATGTTCCACTACACCATAACCATTCACAAATGAAAACTTTTCTATTTCAGGGAAGAAAAGCACAAGCAATGATATACGGTGGTGACATCCATTTTTTCAAGAGACATTTCCAGCCATTCTGTCGATACTATATCTCCAATGCAAAACTTGAGACAGTCCAGCCCAGATATAGTACTTATACCAATGAATACTGCTGGGTTATTGACAATTCAACCGTTGTGCAGCAAGTTCATGAACCGGAGCCTCCGATGCTACCAGATGTCTTCAACTTCAAACCGTATGGCAGAATCTACGAGCACATTGACACAGATGAAGAAATAGGTAACATTTGCCCCCTCTTATATTATTTTATAATACATTCATCCGAATAGACAACCTATCTCTACTACACAGATCTACTTGGAGTTGCTATACATGTTAACCCAAGGGCCATGAGGGGACCAACACCTACCAGAGAAATAATCATAGTCGATGAAAGGTACATATTACATCCATCCAATTAAACAAAATAACATTTGATTTTAAATAAACATGGCTAACTTGTATATGTAGCTCCCAACCTCTTGTCTTGACGCTTTGGGGTGAGCATGAATTTGATGAGGGCCAACAAATAACTGACATGATCCACACACAACCAATCATTGCTGCTCTAAGAATTAAAGCAACCTCCTATCATAGTAAGTCTATGCATTTGACTACAGTAATGCTTCTGATTCTCACTATTACATACTGTTGAATATGTTAACCCCATATTCACCCCAAATATTAATGAAATAAAACTATTCTCTGTGACACATAGCTTTGAACCTATCAACCAAGTTTGCAACTTGTATCTTGATCAATCCTCCAACTACTCAAGCAAATGCGCTTCGTACTTGGTAATGTCAACCTCTAACATCCAGCATAAACTAATAAATGACCTATTCTTAAAGATCAAACTTTACATCATACCTCCATTACCTAATACATTTTGCCACTTGCAGGTCAAGCAAAAATCAAGAAGCATTCCAGAAATTCATTGCAAAACGAACATATGCAGATCGCTTAAACCTCCTCCCAGCTCCAGTCGATGATAGAGTTGTCACTATCAAAAGCTTGACAACTACAAATACGGTAACCATATAATCTGCAATACTCATGCAATTTAAAAACCATCTAAACAATTGTACACCAATTGAACAGAAGCGACCATACTGGATAAGGGGAATACCAAACCTGCTTGACCGAAGCCAGAAAATGTGGTACAATGCATGCCCTATCTGCTACAAGTACCTTAGAGCACAGCCGAACTTGGAATTTGACTGCTCGTCATGCCACAAGCGCATTCGTGTCAGCCCAAGGTATATATACTCTTCTGCACAGTTACCTTCTTCCAACTTCATCATTTAAAATCACCAGCAAACGAATAGCAAAAATAGCCCAAATGAATTACAACAATGATGGATGAGTTCTGTAATAAGTTTCATTTTTTTGCTCTTATCATCCAATCTTGATTAGTGGCCTTATTTTAGCTTCACTGAAATGGATTGAGAGTTTTCTAAGTTATGCAGACTTACAGAGAAAGAGTTTGTTAAGCCTACATTCTATTAATCCGCTGCTTTTGAGGGACCCATTTTGTTATTCATAGTACTCATTTATAATGTGGATCTGAAGTTACCGCACTTATACTGGAGAAATTGTGCACAATATGTCCTCATGTTCCATATTACAGTAGTTTAACTGGATCCTTCATATCTTTTTCCCCCTTATGTAAACAGGTGCAGACTGATGGTACAACTTATAGATCACACCAGCTCAATCACCCTTGATCTCAACGGCAATGATGCTGAGCAACTGCTACCTTTCACTATCGCTGAAATCCAAAAGCAAAAGATACAGGTACAAAGACAAATGGCCCCTTAAACACAACTCAAACTCACTAAATTAATCCATTATTCGCTTATCTTTACATTTTCATAATCCATTACAGAACAAGCTGGACTATACCACCATTGAGGATTTTATCAAACAAAACAACCTAGTCTGTTTGGTAAAGAGGACTCAAAATACGTACAATTCAGCTGCTGCAGCCAAATACATTGCTATCATTGCTCATATCAGGAACTCAACTCCTGAAGAGCTTGCTGTCATATCAAAGTACACTACCAACTATGCAACCACATCAGCATCCTGGAACTCTGGTAGTGCAACAAGCTTAGTTGAAGTAGCAAAAAAAACAGGCCGCATCTCTCAAGGAACTGCAATAGATGTCACAATGACAGAAATGGAGACGAGGAAAGAGCTGGCCTAGCCAATTTGGACAACTCATCTTCCACAAAGTCCAGCGAAGGAACCAGTGATGCATCACCTGCACAACAAGAGGACGGAACCACCAAGAAGCAACGCAACTGAGAACTTAAGGCTGCCCTATTAAACTATCTAAACTCGTATACTACTACTACTATAACTAAATAAGGGACTCCATAGAGCCAGAACTACAGCATTTGCTCTCTTTCTGAACTCCAATCTTCCCTTCATGGACTATTACTACTGTTCTCATTCTCCTACTTTATGGATTTCTTTATCGACTATATGTGGTTTGCAATGGTAACTGCTTCTCATTATTTGATGGCTATATCTTCTTGCAATGTACTATTGTTTACTCCACAAACCAACCTCTTTCCCCACAGGCACCAAACACCCGCGCGATGCGCGGGCACTCCCCCCTAGTAATACTTATATATGTGTGTGGTAAAAGGATAAATTTGTTATGTTAATTTACTTTACTCCTTTCTTTTTAATTTCATGAATCGCATGTTGTTTACAAGGAAAAAAAAAGTATCAGTTATTGGTTTAGATTCTACACGGTATCAAATATGAGGTAGCAAATTCAGTAGGTTTTTAGATTTTTTTAATTATTTTTTTAATGTAAGTGGAAGGTTTCGAACCCGAAATCTCTCACTTGCACTCCCTCATTCTGTATCATCCAACCCATTCCTTTCTCCCCAATTTTTAGACTTGATTTCCTATTGACTATTTAGCTACAAATTCAAAAGAATGATTAATAAAATTGTTATAGCTTTTATTTATGTATAGAAAAACAAAATAAATTAAAATATTAAAATTTGAGCAGCCACCATAGGGCTGGCGAGTGGGCAGGCATGGATGGGGAAATGGGGCATGAGACCGAGAGAGGCTTTACAAGTTACAAGGCGGGCAAGGGGTATGGTTAAAGTCCTCCCCCCCCCTCCCAAAATCCTCTTTGTTGTCATCTTTAGGCTCACTTTTTTAAAAAAAAAATTTATATAGTGCTTTACTGGCACCTAATTTGAAAAAAAAAACATTTTTTAAAATTTTTATAAGCTAACTTTATATATGTCAAAGTTTTTTGCTTAGAGCTAACAGTCATTTGATCTGTTAGTCACTATCAAGACTTTAAGTTTTGGTTGTCCACTATTTGTGATTTGTCACTTTTAGTGAATTTTTCTGATGGTGTTTTTCATTGGTTAGGTTCCTCTTCTTTCCAAAATAGAATAGAGTAGGTTATAGAAATGTTATCGTTGTGACAAAAAAAAATTTTTTTCTTTGCTTGGACATTGAATTGGATTCTCAAGGTTTGGTTACTTTGCCGGTTTCTAATGCTCATTCAAAATGGCCACTCAGCTGTAATCTTCCACACATTCGAAGCGTTCTACAGCTTATTCAAGGATTGGTTCGACAAAATTTCCAGGAAGTGAATTCAACAATACATTATTCCAGTTAAAGTGGATTTGCCAAAAAAGGGTTCTCTCATGGTAATTAAATAACCTTTTCTATTCTATGCTCTTAGGATACAAGATAAGTACACAAAATAGAGGGAATAAAATTAAAATACTATTATGATATTATCCACCCTCTAAATTGAGGAAACTTTTGTCGACAAAATTTAAAAATTTTCACACAACTACACCTGTTATCCTATGTCCTAAGGGCACATAATAAAAGAAGCTTAATTAATTAGATAATCTTAATTCGGGATATTTTAGATTACAATAAGGGAACATTTTCAGCTTATTTTAGGTTATAAGAAGGGAACATTACTCCTTTATTTTTTAATGCTTTTGATTACTCATTGTATTGGAATTTGCCAAAAAATAAAAATAAAATCATTTTTTTTGGTTTTTATGCACCACGTAAGTGTTGTTAATTATTTTGTACAACTAATGCATTATATAATCGAATTTGTATACTTTCTAGTGATTCACTTTGCTACACTAAAAGATAAGACCTAATAATTAGACTACGGTTCAACCGGTTGAATTGGATATTGGGTGGGCGTTAGTCTAAGCATGTGCTAAAAATTTGAGTGTCTGTTAATCGATCAAACTCAATAAAACAAAACTCACTTGCAAAAAATAAAACAAAACTCAGGTCAAAATTCTCAATATTTGTGGACAGGTCAAAATTCTTGATTCAACATTTTAAATTTATTAAAATTCATCACGTGTAGGTCATGTGACGATTTCATACATAACTTCAAAAAGTAATTTTGGAATTGAATTGGTAAATTCTATTTTCTATGAAAGATGTAACATATCATCATTATAAAAGTGAGAGACTAATCCTTGTTTAACACTGAATTTTCTAAACAAAATTTGTTACAAAAAAAAAGTGATAAAACTATTCTTTTTTTTTTTTGTCGATACGAAATTATTTTACATTAGCGGGAGGGAGAGGAACTCAAGAAGTCCAAGAATAACTCAGAGGGAATTAAATCGCCACCAAACTAAACGGGTAGACTACGCATCTGCCTGAATTTTTTAAATAGAGTCACTTTAACGCGGCAAATTAGTGGGAGGCAAAGAACCGTCAAATTTTAATGGATTGGTGATTGCCACCGCCTAAAGGCGGATCACTTATTAGTCAAACGCATACAAAACGCATTCCAGAATGATTTTCCTTTCAATGAGTATGCTACGAGTTATTATCCAATTTGCTAACGATTTTCTATACCATTTATAATGATCAGAAGACCAACAATTCTAAGTTATTACCGACCACCCTAGCGTTACCGACCACCCTAGCGAGCCAAAGAGAGTAGTGTTTTTGTTTAGAAGGGAAATCGCGGGCGTTTATCACATGCCAGTCTCCGAATATTACAATGAGAATTTTCATAGATTCGAATCCCTCCAAATACCAAACTCCTCCCACTAAATCCACTCTCTGTGGCTCCCAATTCCCTTCTCTTTCTGTCTTGCTTTCATACTGTCCCCAGAAGTCTCTCCTTCTCTCAGCCATAATCTCAAGCACTTGTTGTACTTCACTGCCTTTTGTTTTTCCCTACTACTTGTCCCTGTCTTCTTCCTCTTCTCTTGTTTTCTACTGAAAGAACCAAACTTTTTGCTATATGAAGAAAAACCCACAATTTTTTTTTTCACATGACTAAAGACCCTTATGGATTGATTGAGATTTCAGAATAGCAAAAGAAGCTATGCAGCCTTCATCTGTTTCTCAAGAACCCATTAATTTGTGGAACTCTGCATCCCAATTGGGTTCTTGTTTACTTGATAATTCTGTTAAGTTCAATGGGAATTTCAATTATGACGGCTACTCCTCATTATTGTCCAACAGTTTGCATTTTGATGGCTTAGTTAGTTCATTTTCTCAAAAGAAGCCAAATACTGTTGCTTCATTGAGTTTGAGTACTAAAGGTGCTGCCTTTAGGATTAGGAGAGTTTTGAATCAGTTTAATAGGTTCATTAAGTTTAATTGTGAGAAAATCCCACTTGGGTTTGCCTCATTAGGGTCTAATTATGGGGAAAGCAATGGCTTTAGGGAGGATGACAATGGAGTTTGTGTGAGTGAGGGAGTGCCTGTTAATGGTGTTGAATCAGAAAATCCTAAAAAAGTACTAATTTTGATGAGCGACACCGGTGGTGGTCACAGGGCGTCTGCTGAGGCTATTAAGGCTGCCTTTAATGAAGAATTTGGGGATGATTATCAGGTTAGCTTTCTGAAGTTAATGATGGATATATTTCTTTTATTATTGATGATCAATTGCTGTAAATTGATTCTGAAAAGGGATTACTTGTTGGATGGGTGTGTTTACGTGTTGATTGTGGTATGTTTTAAAGAGTGTGTGTTGCAGGTGTATATTACTGATTTATGGACTGATCATACGCCTTGGCCTTTCAACCAACTGCCAAGGAGTTATAACTTCTTGGTGAAACATGGACCTTTGTGGAAAATGACATATTATGCTTCTGCCCCACGTGTGGTTCATCAATCCAACTTTGCTGCAACATCAACTTTTATAGCTCGGTGAGACTTATTCCTTGCTGTAGTTATTTTCTCCCATTGTTGCATTTCTGTATCCAATGTGAAAGTGTTTGTTTCAGTTGCTATAAGGACCTAGGAGTTTGTTGATAATAACATGGAAAGAAAGCATATGCATACCTGTACTTGCTTTTTTAATGTTTATGAAACATCTAATTTTCTGTGCCATACTTGTTATGATGTAACAGGTTTTCCTCGCCTATGAATTGACGGAATGAATAAACTGTCATGTTGCTACTTAAGCACCTTATGTTTGGACTGATACTTGGACCTATATACTAGGTTATATCTTGTAGGCTACTTGATTGAATGAGGTTTTGTACCTTTGGAACCTTTATTTTGCTGTCTCTGGGCTTTTGTAAGCTGAGATTGGATAGTAAGTGCTTGCTATGCTGCTAGAATTGTTTTGCATCTTAGTGTTGCAGCGCTGCACCTCCACAGCATGAAACAAATTAGTTCTTACTTCTTAGTACTCACCTTTTTTTTGGCTAATAAATGAGAAGGTAGCTAAGGTCCCCCGCACCATTTTTTGTCTACTTAGATCCCATCGGACCTATGTGGTGGCAGAACCTTAGGACCCTCTGAGGGTGGTGTGGTTATAATGAAGCCACACTTGGAACTTATAGATCTTCTTTGCTTGATTGTCTGATCCTGATGGATGAATTTCACAGCAATCACTTATGTATCGAGATTTCTGCTAATCAATACGATAAAACAGAAAAGAGAAGTAGAGGAAAGATGTTTCTCTCTTCTTTTCTGGCTTTTCGGTTCGTGCTCAATTTTTTTCAAATTGGTGCTTTAAAGGTAAATGATATAGTGTCTCATGCTGCTCCTGTTTCACTGTTTCAGGGAGGTTGCTAAAGGTTTAATGAAGTACCAACCAGATATTATTATTAGTGTACATCCCTTGATGCAGCATGTCCCACTCCGTATATTGAGAGCAAAGGGTCTTCTGGAGAAGATTGTATTTACCACTGTGGTGACAGATTTGTGCACGTGTCATCCCACATGGTAAGAATTGTAGGCATTTTGCAAACTGTCCTATTTTCCTACAGGTTTGATGATTTGTCTTTAATGACTAGGTTTCACAAGCTTGTAACAAGATGCTACTGTCCATCTGACGAGGTGGCAAAACGAGCAGTAAAAGCTGGATTGAAGCCCTCCCAAATCAAGGTTTATGGCCTTCCAGTCCGACCTTCCTTTGTCAAGCCTGTTCGTCCTAAGGTCGGTAGATTTTCCTGGGAAATAGGAATCGACTTTTTCAATTTTTTTGAGCTGTTACAATTGATTTCCTTTTAAATCCCATATATATGCCGTATGGCGCTGCACCTGGTGTTATATATTTTTTTCAATCATCTAAGAAGCAAGAAGTGATGCCCAAAATTATGAAAAGTGCAAATTAGATGGTAACATGTTCCTCCTTTAATGGTTCAAGTGTTCCATTAAGAAGATATATGCATTTTTTGAACATGAATGTTGTAAGTTTGCATAAATGTTGTAAGCAGTGCCCAAAAAAAAGTGATGACTTTTTAGAGATGGCATATTTTTCTTTTTTGTTTTGTTGGGGTGATGTGGTTGAAACTATGAACTGCATAAGGAGGGCATATTGTTGGAAACTCTCAAATTACATTCAAGTGTTTTGATTACCTTTTTTTAACCTACCTTAGTAGCTAGGTAATTTTAGTACCCTTTTAAACCCATGTTTGGGTAATATTGTTGCAGTATATATTTTGGTAAGTTAGGTTGGGAACTTTTGACCCAACTGTTGTCGCAGGGCTGATTTAGTACATTAGGTAGGTTGGGTTATATGCATCAGGAGTTTGAAATTATGTTTTTTTCCTCGTCCAAGTCTTGTAGGATCTGTGGTCTGATGCATTAAAATTGATTTAGAATGGAATTAATGGATGGAGGGTGTGTGGTACAACATTATACTTTTACTATGCTGCCTATTAGCCAAATGTGTCTTTCCTCTCTGCTCAATTTTTCCCTGGACATGTTTCCAAATATTCTAGTCATAGGTGATTTAATTCTTCTTTCCTTTTGCATCCTTGGTAACAGCATAGCTGTTCCCTAGCCTTTCAGTAAACCTACCCTCAGCAAGTAATCAGACCATTTTTTTTGCTATAAAAGTTGCACTACTGAAGTTTAGCGGCTTCACCAGATTGATATCGGAGCCCACTCAGCACTGTTTAATGTTGATAGATGCAGGAAGGAGCAAATGATCTTCAGGCCTTGTTTGATAACCCAATTCAGTACTTAAAGTTAATAAATTCAGATCTTAACATGTTTAGATGCATTCGACAATCAAAAATTAAACATTTAAATCACTTAAGTGGCACTGAATTTCCTAAGCAAAACTTGTTCTCAAAGATAAGTGATAAGCTATTCACTTATCACTTAATGTGATATACACTCAAATATATCAAATTTAATATTTAACAATTCAATAACTTAATGACTTCAGACTTTAGGTTTCAGATTTTAGTTTTCAGACTTCAGTTTTATCAAACGCATCCTCAGTGTTTTGAGACGACTTGGAGTCTTTGAGAAATAATGATATGTTAAAAGTTTGATGGATCAACTTTGCGGAGCTGAAATTTTAGGATTTTTAGCAAGAGGTGGTTGTGGTAGTACCATCCTTTTGAGGTCACTTCAAATTAAAGTTTACCTGCAAGACTACATCTTATTGCTGGTTTTATATTGCAGGTATACCTGCAGGATGTAGAATCACCACTAAGCATTCCATAAGAAGATATGAAATTTTTAATGTAGATATATGATCCTGCACACCGTCATCAGTAGCTCTATAGATTTGCAGAGTCAACAGCAGGAGAATTAAGTGTAATTTGAGTTTAAAAAATGGTCCAAGTTTAAATTCTTGATGATCCTGATTGAATAATAGCCTGAGGCAAAGATTTTTTTTGGGGGGGGGGGGGGAGTGAGTGGAATTAACTGCCATGTTGGCTGTAGTTGGCCATTAAAAAGATGTACCTGAGATGCTTGTAATTTGCAAAAGTGGCTTCAGAGCCAAGTTTGGCAGCAGAAAAGACCTTCTAGTGCTACTTTGTGGTGCAATAACTGCTACTTTGCTTTATCAAATGCTTCAAGACTTTGTGCTTCAGTGAGCTTTGGTTTCACAGCCAAAAGAAATTGACTATGGGAGCCAGAAGTACCGATTGCTTTAGTTTTGGATGCCCCATAACTAGCCAAGCCAAAGTTTCTATAGAAGGGAATGAATTGGAAACGCATCAGGCTATGAACATGTTTAAAAAGTTCTGTAGCTTTGTCAAGAGTGTCATATGCAGGGCTTGTGTCTTAAGCAGAATTTGGAGCTATAACCTTTCTTAGTCCGTGTGCTCATATATGACTTTAAGACAGCCAACTTGTGCTTGTACCTCCCAGCTTTAAGTTGGACTTAGCTGTCTACATCCCCAATAAAGAGTTCCTAACAATGTTCAAAGTGCATTCTTGTTTGAGATGTTCAAACTTTGGGCCCAAATTTATTCCACCACATAAATGGTTCTATTGCTTTGAACAGTTAAATCATATTATTATTTATTAATAGAGGACTAAGGATGTCTGATGCATCTATATCTTGGCTCTGATTCATCAAATTGTGCGTGAGAGTTTTTCTTCTCTTTTTAACCTTGGATATAGTTTTTTGAATTTCTGATCAAAAAGCTGCTTGGCTTTGCTCTTTGATTTCAAATAGTTTTTATAGTTTCATATTTTGGTCCTTTGCTTCTTGATTTCTCAAGAAGTTGTGAATACTTTGTGGACATTCAGTTAGTAAATCCTTATAATTATGAATAAAGCACCACTTTCATGGAGCTAACATTATGCTGTGCTGAATTGTCATGATCTTGCAACAAGTAATCAATTAGAGCATTGTAACTTAACAGCTCCTTATCTTTGCTGTACGTGGACTTTTGACTTGAGATGGTGGTCTACCAGCATTATTACATGATATATTAATGTGTTGGTTAAAAATTTTGATCCAGGTAGGCCAAACGGCCATTGCTACACATATCGGAAAGTGTAGAATGTGGTTATGTTTGGTTAGTACTAATCTAGCCAGCAAGACACTTTTTAATAATCAGTACTCTGGAAGCTCATAGCATTGGTCTTGATAAGATCGCATTCATGATTAGACATATAGATCAAATGAGATTGTTTGCTCATGTCAAAGACCATGCCTGAAGTCCCTGATATCCCATTTTTTCTTGAAAACTCCAGCAGAAAGTATTATTCAGTGATATTCTCCTTAAAATTAGGATAGTATGTTGAGCATGCATTGTCTTTTTCCGTATGATTTAGGGGTTTTTTGCATTTCAGTAATTTGTATGTCTTTTAAGTCACTTGTAACTGAACAAGTGTGACTCAATTTCTGCTGGCTTTCTCCATTTCTGACTTGTCTAAATACATAGGCTACATTATATCATTTTAGCTATATTTCTTACTCTGGTTTATGGGAGTCTCAATGTAGTTTCAAAGAACAGAAGGTATCTTTGTGTATCTAGCTTGAGCATTGTAAGGGAGTTTTGTTTTTCTCTGCTTATTCCTCCTTTTATATGTTGTGGGCCCCCGAGCAGTGCTAACAAGCGTGATCTATGTTGTTGGTCCCTAGACTATGTTTATGACCATGTCTAGCTTAAGTTTTCATTCTTCTTTATGCTTGTAAAGATTGGGATGTAGGACCAACTAGCAAAATCATGATCTACATGGAGAACCTTGATCTAAATTATTCTCTTTCTCGACTATCATGTTGGTCATAGAAGACTCAAAGGAAAGGGATGCAAAGTTTGAGGCAAAAATAAAAGCTGGAAAACTTATTAAATTGGTCAACAAATTCAACTTTTAGCTGATGAGATACCTTGCTTGAAAAAAGAATACAGAAAACTCAAGCAGAATACCTGGAAATGAATTATTGAAGCAAATGAAAATCCAGGTTATTGAAAATGATTGTACTACGTAGTTAAAAAAAGAAAGAAAGAAAGAATGTCATTGTAGTAAAATATGTAGAATTACAGAGCCAATACCTAGGTGTTACCCAACAATATTATAAATAAAACCATATTAGTTTTCTGTGCATGCGTATGTGGAATTCCTTCTGGGTCATGAATCCATTTGTTTCATCAGAGCCCTGGCTTTAGTTGTCCATGTTAACTACTTTACTTTGTGTTAAATTTCTAGGTTGAGTTGAGGAGGGAGTTGGGGATGGACGAATACCTTCCTGCTGTATTGCTGATGGGTGGTGGGGAAGGAATGGGTCCTATTGAGACTACTGCACGAGCTCTTGGTGATGCATTATATGATGAAAGGACTGGGGAGCCCATAGGTCAGGTCCTTGTAATATGTGGTCGCAATAAAAAGCTTGCCAGCAGATTGCTCGCCAATGATTGGAAGATTCCGTTCCAAGTATGCAATTCCTTGGAAATTTGGCAATAGCCTCAGCATGATTTCCTTTTTCTCTAAAGAAATGTGTGGGCCTGAATAGAAGCAGAATATTCTGTACAATGTCAAGCCTTTTATTGAGTTTTGCTGTTTTCTGCCACTTCCCTACTTTGCTAATTTGTGACGTGTTGTAAAACTATGAAAACAATTTTTTGACTATACACTTTTTTTTCACTTTTACCGTTGGAATTTGGCACTACTTGATATTTTTGTCAGAAGAATGTGTGTTTGTGTCTAAGAGTGCAGTTTTTGTATCTTCTTGCACAAGTAGATATGACTTACATGAGATGCTTCTTTTTAGGTTAAGGGTTTTGTCACAAAAATGGAGGAATGCATGGGCGCTTGTGATTGCATCATTACCAAGGTAAATCTCCCATTAACTTATTCCAAACCTTTTCTGCTCAGATAAAGACTGATGGTAAATTGCCCTGAAAAAAAAAGGACTAATGGGAAATTTCCAATTATCCAACTTATTCCTTTGTTCTTCTATAGGCTGGCCCAGGAACTATTGCAGAATCTATGATTCGAGGCCTTCCTATAATTCTCAATGACTACATTGCTGGGCAGGTAATGTGTTGAACTCCTCTCACTTTTTCTTGTTTTAGGGAGAGTTTTCGCTGTTGATTATGACTGCTGTCTTATTGTAATCAGTTCATCTTCTTTTGTCCTCTCAACATGTTTGATTGTCTCTTTCTACCAAGAAGTTGGAGACAAAATTCTCTAATGGGAATTATTTCTAGATAATTTACTGGTAAAATAACAACCTGGAGTAATTTTTTATATATTTTTTTTATGTAAATTATTTTTTTTTATCTTTTAGAAATGCTGAAAGATCCCATTTCGTTCTCGTATAATGCAAGACTGTGGAAGAGATCTGGGTAAAAGATGCCGATATATGAGCAAACCAACATAAGTAGATGATATGATGTGGTTTTTTCTTCCCTTTGTTGCATTAGATGTTTGAGGAGGAGCAGATAGCTCAGATCGCTTCCTGTTATTTTTAGCCTCTTGATGTTACATAAAAGCATTAGGTTTTTCAGAAATCCTTGCCCTTCTTATGGTAATTAAAGGCATTGTGTGTTTTAGAAATCATTGCCTCTTGTTGCATGCCCATCTTTTATGGTAATTTGGTCGAGATTAATTGGTTTGCCTGAGTTAGTTATTCAGACAAACATATTGTTTGAGTGGCAATATGGATTTATAGAACAGTGAAAGCTGGTAATCACCCTCTCACCTGCCCTCACTCTTTGTTTCTCTTATAGTCTCTGTTTCTTTGTTGCTCAAATTGTACACGTTATGCATACACCTTTTTTATTTTTATTTTTTTATTAATACCTCTGTTGGTAAGCTTACGTTCCCCTTCTATGATCTTTTCATGCTGGCCCTATGTTCATTAGGTTTTGCCATACCTCTAAAGGTTCTAATTTGATTTTGCAAAATATGGTCTACCTTCGCTACTGGAGGGAAGGTGGCACAGAAAACCCTTCAGTTTAACGTCTCATCTCTTTTTTTCTGTGTTCCCTTTTAATCCCCATTTCCTTCTCTATTTCTTTTAGAACGTTAATCTCAGATCGTCATTGACATCAACAGTGTAAGATGCTGATGGCTAGCCTAAGGTGTTTGCCGGGTCTCTGTGTCAGTTTTGCAATTCCATTTTAGTGCTTCCCAGAATATGAAAAGAAAATAATAAAGAAACAAGAGTCTAAATGCAATTGGCAATGCAGAAGTAGTGAAAGCAGACTGAAAATTATGACACCACTTTAAAGATTTGCTAAGTTGTTTAGCGTGACATGGATGATTCGCTGAATCATTGGTGACTTCACCACAATCAGTCAACTTCAATCTCACTTCTTTCACTCTCCTTGACTGCTGGCTGGTCAGTGGTCACACTTCAGTTCTGAAATTCTTATTCTCAGCTTCTTAGAGCTAGGTGTCCTGAACGCTTATCTTGATTCTTAAAGGATCGACCTCTGAAGTTCTGAAATCAAAGCTAATCCCAACACACTTCTTGGTGCTGCATCACTATCATTAATGAAGCTTCACAAAGAATGATAAAATCCATTTGGAGTTTAGATGAAAGTTGATATTTTCCTGCTTCACCAGAACGTGTTGATTGTGAACATGTAACCACATACATCTTTGTATAAACTGAGAAACTTGCAAACGCATGTAAGGTCTAATAGATGCTGGATATGGTCAAGAAACCACCTGTGTTTGGACATTTATAAACTGTTAGATAGTCAAGTATAAATTAGATGGCTATGCCTGTGGCCATATTTACAGTGTGATAATATCATAGGACCACTTTGATATTCTCTTAGACAGATTACGCGAACCTTGAATTTTGCTTTGCTTGATATGAACCGTGTGACCTGATTCCTCAAATGACAAATGACTTTTCAAGCACAAGCATGTTATAGTTGTTGACGTGTGGGACTTGAGTCTCTCTCTCTCTGTTTTTTTTTTAAACCATTCCTCTCTTCCTTGACGTCTATACACACTGAATTAGAATGAAAATGGTGGATGGTATTGGTTATTCTAGCAAAAGAAATATCTAGCTTCTACACTCAAAGGGTAGCAAGACTATGCAATGATCTTGTAATATGTTTTATACCTATTTCACAATATTTTCGGTGGCTAATTGATGAAAGTATTGGAGATTTACATATAAGCCCATGACCCCAAAATTAACGCTGTCCCCATGTCTGTGATTGCAGGAAGCTGGAAATGTGCCATATGTTGTTGAAAATGGATGCGGGAAGTATTCAAAATCTCCAAAAGACATAGCTAGAATAGTTTCTCAATGGTTTGGTCCAAAGCAAGATGAGCTAAAAGCCATGTCACAGAATGCACTGAGACTGGCAAAGCCAGATGCTGTATTTAAGATTGTCCATGATCTACATGAGCTCGTCAGACACAGAATTTTTGTACCGCAATACTGTTAAACCTACTGACTAAATTTAAGTTTTGATTCATTTTACCAAAAAAGAAAAAAAAAAGTGCTGTTTTTACACAATAAACAATGCGTTGTCTTCCTCTAGAGAATCCCATTTCTTTTGCTGTGTGAGTATTTATGCTGATTAGAAAAGGGCAAGGATAGAAAGGAATACGACTACAAGACTTGTTCCTAGAGATGATTATTTTCCAAGGTTGCCTGTTGTTATGTGTCTGTTTTAGAAGAAGCAAATGCAAGCTGACATAGATATCGGCTCTGTGTCCATTGGTCTTTTCCTTGATCATGGTTCGGTTTCCGCAATTGCCTTTTCCCACACCTTTTCCGGTTAGATGACAGATCAAGAAATGGATGTCCAATTTTCCAGCAAGTATCAAGGCACTGCCATGAATGAATCCTGTCATGCGATGAGCTTGGGTATTGACCATTTTGTGATGGTTACACTTTTAGCCTGGTATACTTCTTTAGGTCACGTCTTTCATTCTAACTTATAATGTAGGTCTTACATGAAACTAACACACAATGAACGAGCGGAGAACAAAAGAAATTTATAAAAGGGAGTCAAAGGGTGATTAAAATTATGAAGGGACTTTGGGCCTATTTTAGCTCCGTCCAAGCTCACAATTTAGTACTTTATTATGCATTTAACATATCGTTTTTATAAATTAGTGATATAAATTGCAAATTGTATACATTATAACATGTATTATCAAATTATGCGTATTTGAATGAATTACTTTTTGGACCAAGCTTTAATATGATTGAATTTAGTAATGCCCAAACTTAGTCACGACTAAATTGGATTTCATAGTAATACTCAAATTTTACTTAATTCAAAAACACATAAAGCTCGGACTCAAATTCTTTGGGCCAAGCTCAGGTTAATCTAGCCTGTTAACAGTCCTAGATCCTAATGTGGATGAGACATCTTCCGAGAATGTTGGATTAACTATGCATAGGGAGTCTTATAAGGGACTTCGCAGGTAGTTGGAAGGTGGGCTTTTCTGACAAAATAGGGATTGCTACTAATTTTGGAAGCCGAGTTTTGGGTCATAGTGCTGGGATTGCAATTTGCTCGGACTCGGGGTTGGACAATCAAAAAAAAATTTGAGTATTCAATGATGTTATGAAATAATTAAAAGTATGGATGTTCCTTTGTATTCCCAAGAGAATTAATTCATAATTTATGGCTACATTATGTATAGAAGTTACAATCTATAAATCTATTCATGTAGTGGAGAAACTGTTTCATAAGTTTTTCATATTATTGTAGTAGTGGGTGTTTTAATAGGATTTATGTACCTTTGATCTTGTAGTACCTATATATAGAGATACATTGACACCCTTTGGGAGGACTTTGGTATTTGTTGGAATACAAGAATGTCATTCTCCATTACTCTACTTTTCCTCTAATATCTCTATTCATACTATAGTAGTTTATTAGTTTTACAACACGTTATCAGCACGAGTCTCTATTTTTGAGCAAAAGGTGAAAACGGAGGCTCTACCTTAAACAAAAGTAAAACAGGAGATTTTGCCAAAATTCTGTCTGCATTTCTTCAAGTAACTTCTGAGGTAAATTTCTGACCCACAAACTTATTTCAATTTCTTATGGCTAACATTTGAATGATCGAAAAATACAAGTGCCTATTGCTGAGCAACCACTAAACACAAACATATATTGTTTGACATCTTTGAGGTAATATTTCTCCTTTTAATTCTACTTATTTATCTTTATAATTATTTTTTATAAATATTTATATTCTGATGCATTGAGTTTTAGATATGCTATTATAGAAAATCAATTATATTTGAGGATCTACTTGTCCTTTGAAATATTTAAAGAAAAAGATTCGACCACCTGAAGATGGTCGTTCTTTAACGAAAATATTTGGCCACTAGAAAATGGTCATTATTTCAAAAGCCTGGTATGATAAATTTACCTATGGCTACAAGAACATAATTCTGCAATTTTCAGAATTACTTCTCAGTTGAAATTGTGTCGAGAAAATTTTACTTATAAGATATATTGAAAATAATATTCTCCACAATTGATTTCTCTAATATGCTCCTGTAGTAGAAATACTAAGAGAAATTTTGAGAATTATTTTGTACTTATTGCATTCTAATTCTAGTCCATTCCCAGAAGTGAATGTGACTAAATTTCAATTTATTAGTTATGGTTGATGCCATGACTATGATTTTGATAAATATGTATTTTACCATGATAAGAGAAAAAGTTACCACTTGAAGTGGGATAATAATGATAAGGACAAGAAAATAAGGATCTTGAAGACAAATGTCCCGAAGTACATTTGACAAATAAAAATTATAATAGCATTGTCACATGGCAAATTTCTTTAAACACCCTGAAGGTGTATGATGCTTAATTTAATTTATGATATTAATTGACTTTTCTTCCTGAAGAAGAAATGGATGTTAAATATTTGAAATCAAAAAATTATGGTGATGATATTTGTCTCATAAGAATTATGGTGACAATAATATGTGTCTCATTAATAAGTGCTACTATATACACTATATTTCAATGACAGAGACAAACACAATCAGTTGTAGTGTTTAAGTGATTGAAAGCTCCAAAAGAACCACTATTATATTTCTCCCTGTAGGAGAAAAGTTTATCATAAATAAAACACTACTTTTTACGATGTCTCGAAAAATTTATTGAATTTGAATATCCATCGAAATGGATATCAAATTGAGACATTAAATGAGACAATAATAGAGATCATGTTTAGAAATCAAATGAGATAAAGGTTAATTATATCATAATAACCATTCGAGAGAGAAATGGTTATCGATATAGTTGTCTTCATTCTCATTTGATTTATAATTATCACCTGTAGTAAACCAAAAGTTTACTGATCCCAATGGATATATGATTTAACAAAAATGAGAATATTTGAGAGCCAACAAGTATTTATACATACCCCCTTTATATTATATATGGCTCCAAAAGAAATTTAAAATTTATGTCGGATATGAATCAGCTTTTACGATTAAATATTGTAAAATATTGATGAGTGATCTATTGAATGATTTATTTATTCTGATGAGCTACGATTCCCGACATTAGGGGAAAGAAAAAAATCAACCGAAAGGAAATCATTTGAAAAATTGGATTTCCTCGATCCTCATACAAAATAATGTGAACTAGAAGTTCAAGAAATTCTTCATTTGTAGAAAATTATATTTATCAACTCCAGAAGAGTCATTAAATCAACTATTCCTGCAGGAAATACTTTAGTTAAAATTGATGTCCCTGAAGGACATGCACAAGTGCTACAAATAAATTTAAGGCCGGTTTACCTAAATAAGGTATAAATTGATTTCAAATATCTCTGGAGATTAAATAAATGTCATGGCAAAATTCAACCTCTTGAAGAGGTCACTCCTGAAGAGCCAACTCCTGAAGAGAATGAAATCATAGAAAATTTAATTGAAACCTAATGAAATGTGGCACTTGATATTATAGAAGTTGATGAGAATCATGAATCTATATTGGTTGATGAATGTCGGTATAGAAATGATTGTTCAAAGTGGAAAGATACGATCCAATCTGAATTGGATTTATTTTTTAAAAGAAAAGTTTTTGGACTTGTAGTCCAAACACTTGAAGGTGTAAAGCAAGTTGCCCAAAAATTTTCACAAATATTTGGATACCAATGATCCAATATGTCCATGTGTTTTTATCAAGAAAAATGGATCAAATTTTGTGATAATTGCTGTATATGTTAATGATCAAAATTTGATTGGAACTCCTGAAGAGATTCAAAATAGTGTTGAATATTTGAAGAAAGAATTTGAGATCAAAAATTTTGAAAAAACAAAATTCTACCTTGACTTACAAATTGAGCATTTGAAAAGTGAAATTTTTGTCCACCAAATTGCTTATACCTGGAAGGTATTAAAGCGGTTACTCCAATGGTCGTCAGATCATTAGATCATAATAAGGATCCTTTTAGATCGCGAAGAGCAGATGAAGAGATACTTGGTCCAGAAGTACCATATCTCAGTGCAATTGGCGAAGAATATATTGGAATGCGATGATTAAAAGATCTCAAATAATGTTTGCATCAGGGGGAGAAATTAATACACAAGAATAGTGTACTCTTTTTCCTTCACTAGGGTTTTTGTCCCGATGGATTTTTCCCTGGTAAGGTTTTAACAAGGCATATTCTTTGTGTAATGGACATCCAAGGGGGAGTGTTATGAAACAATTAAAATTATGGATGTTCCTTTGTATTCCCAAGAGGATTAATTCATGATTTATGGCTACATTATGTATAGAAGTTACAATCCATAAATCTATTCATGTAGTAGAGAAACCGTTTCATAAGTTCTTCATATTATTGTAGTAGTGGGTGTTTAATAGGATTTATGTACCATTGATCTTGTAGTACCTATATATAGAGGTACATTGACACCCTTTGAGAGGACTTTAGTATTTGTTGGAATACAAGAATATCATTCTCCATTACTCTACTTTTCCTCTAATATCTCTATTCATACTATAGTAGTTTATTAGTTTTACAACAAATGAGCATAAGAACTGGTTAAGAAAACTGATCAGAAGAATCCCCCACTATAACTTAATCCATAGGTGAGGCATTAGTTGGATATGCCTTGTGATGGCTCTCTGAAGCAGGCTTGGAGAGAAGGGAATTATTGCGTTAATGGAATGACAAAATTGGCTCGAGTGGCAAAAACAGTTTTAAATGCAATCGTTCATGAATAATGTAATATTTTTTGAATATGTTGTAATTTAGTACAAACTATTTCTATAACTTTGTAACAGCAATTCCCCCTGCTTGCTAAATCCGGACAGCTGAATCTCACAACCATCCCCCCCTTCCCCAGAGAAGCTGCATGGGATTGACTACATTTTCTATAGGAATAATTTCATAAACCTCCCCTAAGCATTTTTTAGTATCACTGGTTTCCTATAAAGTTTTAGAAATATTATATACCTCCTCTAATTCATATGTTTTTATAACATGTCAATCCAAGTGAGACTAACAAACTAATTTCATAGGAGAGAAGATAATTTTATCCCCCAAATGCCCTTTTACTATCCTCAACATTAGTTTGTTTACATATCTAATTTTTGGCTTTAATTCAAGCCCCCAATAATTACAAGTTCATAGCAATTATACCATGTGCTTTCATATCCATATTAAGAAATTTTTAATGCCCAAATACATACTTTTTATTTCTTATGAAAAATTTTAATTGCCGTAATTAAACATCATAAATGAAAAAGTATTTAGAGATCTCATGTAAATCTCTTTTTTTTTATTAACAACCTCATATTATACAATAAATGTCAACAACAATAAAAGTTAAATGATCGATAACAATGTTGCAATTTTAATCCTATTTATTATTGCCTCTTGTTTTTTTTTATCCTTATTAACATTTCTCTTTATGCTCAAATGTATTTTCTTTATTTTTCAAGGAGAATATATAATTATGTGAAATTATATAAGAAATTAAATATATACATATAGTATAAAAGTTTTATTAATTTTCTATTTTTATTAGTATTGCTAGTTATTAGCATACATTACTTTTTATTAACAATTAATGCTTCACCTAGAAATTAGTAATTTATTTTTTGAACAATAACTAAAAAATGATAAATTAATTGTTAAAAATGACATAAATGACACTATATATGAGAGAAGAAGCTTATTCAAATCAAAAGTTTATTTGAATATATACACCTGAATATAAAATAAAATGCACTAGCAACGTAAAAAAAGGAAGAAAAAAAAGATGAAAGAGAAAGAAGGAAAAGAAATATGAATGTTTAACTTATAAGAAAAAACACATATAGAGTGAAACTTAAAAGAAACATATATGAAAATGTCGGCATTTCTATCCAACATATAAGTGGAGAATCATTAGAAGGTTAATGGCGTTAGTCATCGTGAGGCATTCTTTTATTTTCTAAAAGCATGAAGAAATTTGTTATCGACGCCTATATATATTGGTATAATCTGTAATTAATCCAAAATATATATCTCAATCAAAGTAGGGTGTAAGAGTCATTTCACTATTACTAATGTCAATAGTGGGCCCAATTGACTGATAGGAGAGGTATGTGATATTTTTTAAAGTTGAGGGCGAGTAATGACATTGCCAAAAACCTTAGGGGAGAGTTCAAAAATTATTCCTTTACCATACCTTAGGAGCTCGTTGGACTTTAATCTTGTGGGAGTAGTTTCTCCGCGTTTTGCACATTGCTAATGGCCCATTTGGCCCTCTTACCAAAGCAAAAACTAAAAGTCAAACATGTGATTATTGGTAGCCTATTAACACCCCCATCTCTCTTCCCCTCCTCCTCCTTCTGCTCCTTTCTTGGTGGATCAAAAGTTGTCCTATTTGTATTGTTTTTTTTCCGAAACAGAATATTACACACACACACACACACATAATGAGAGACACGCAGCAAGCATTAGCAAACCGGCCCAAAATCAAACTAAGGGGGACCTACAAGGATTACCTATCCAGCCAATTGGTGGCAGAAGGGCAATCCCATGGACCTTAAACCCAGAGTAAATACCTCACAATCAACCGATGTGGAATGGTGACCCAACCCCTTCCCACACATGCAGACATCACTTCCGTGGAATGTTTTTTTTTTTTTCTAAAACGGAATATTACACACACACACAAAAACAATGAGAGACACGTAGCAAGCATCAGAAAATCGGCCCGAAAGCAATTTAAGGGGAACCCACAAGAATTACCCATCCAGCCAATTGGTGACAGAAGGGCAACCCCATAAACCTTAAACCCAGAGTAAATATCCCACAATCAACCGATGTGGGATGGTGACCCATTTGTATTGTACTAATTGATTAATTGTATCCAAAAGTTGCAATTTAGCCCAAAGTCTCATTCTGCAACCTATATACCAATCCATAATTTGGAGGAACCCCACTCCCCACCCTCCTCCCCCGGGTTTCCTGATTTTGGATTTAGACTTGTTAAGTTCTTACATTAGAAAAAAGAAAAAAGAAAAAGAAAACTTTGTTATGTTGACCACGAAATTATTATATTCTCCACTAATCATTATTTTCCATTACCCTTTTTTAATTGGGATACCAAAAACACAAATGAACGAAGAGATGCCAGCGGATCAAACTCTTAAAAATCCATCATATCAAATCCTGACCCGTATATTTAAATCTTTTACAAAAATCTATCAATCAATCCTATGACTTTTAATTCTCATTATTAAATCCTTTCGTTTTGGGTTCATATTACTTGTTAGGTACTCTCCATATGCTAATATGAATAATTAAAAAAAAAGAAATTAATTTTTATTAAACTAAAATCAATACACATCATCCTAAACTAACACACTACATTGAATTTTAAACTTGACCAGAGCTATAAAGAAATTCAACATTTTTATGAAGGGTGAATTTACCAATCCTCTAAAAAATGATTGAAACAGCTATCTACAAGAATTGTAAATAGAACATGATAAATAACAGTTTACAAGACAAACATGTGTATCAACTAAATACAAATTAAAGAGAATAAGCAAGTTCTATAGACATACCAATTCCTTAGTACATACATACATACATATGTCTATATGTGTGTATGTGTATTATTGGTTTTTTGGGATTCTCTTATTAGGGAGAGGGTGGACTGGGTGATTTGGAAAAAGGGAGTATAAGTGAGAGATCTTGGATTCGAACACTCCCACTTATACCAAAAAAAAAAAATTCTTGTCTAATCAGATTAACCTCCATTCATCAATATCAAACCCTAATATCAAACTCTAATAGATTATTTATGTGTCGTCTAACCTGATTAACCATCGGGTCGAATACCCATGGAGACCGGGTTTTACCCTACTCATTGCCATCTCTGAATAACCATGTTCAAAATCAAATGAATGACAATTGTATTCAAGATGCAATCCAATTTTAACCCTTTGCCTTGATAATTTAAAAAATGTTACTATATTTCCCATGTGCGTGTATATATATATATTTCCCATGTGTGTGTATATATTGTATAATTGAGAGATCTTGAACCCAGGATCTCCTACAGTTTCCATGCATATAGCTTGGAATGCAATGTAGTTCTAATTCTAGATACATAAACACTTGTTAAGTTATTTACGATTTTAGTATAAAATTTTGGAGAAATTTTGAAAAAGGGGATAGAAAAATTGAAAATTCATAAACATGATAGACGTTTTTAAAACTTTAAAAATAGAGTATGAGACACAATTCATGAATTAAAATAATTAATTTTTTATCATTAAATGACCAAATTACCCCCACAAATGTGCACTTTTTTAAAATAAAAACATGTACCTTACCAAATGAAAATGTATATCTTGGTAAATATAGATATACATCCAAATGTACACATTTAAATTGATATATGTGCACATACATACATATATATATATATATATATATATATATATGCTCGAACGTGCATACTTCGCGTTTGCACACAGAAGTGCTAATCGTGTATGTAAGGGCAAATTCATAATTTTGACTACAACAAAAATACTTTTATAAATTATGAACAATAGTCCATACCCATTCACAATTTTCTTAAAACTTGAACACGGTTATAAATTTCTACTTTTCCTGTCTTCCCCTTTCCGGTTTCCAAAATAAACCGAACCTCTAAAGCTATAAATAAATTTTTTTTTGGGTGTGTAGTTTTGTCTTAAACTCCACTAATTAAGTTATTAGTACTCCTACTCAGATTATTACTCCAAAACTGCACACAAGGGAACTGAAGGCGAAAGCAGGAATCCTAACCGAAAATGCGTAAAAATTCTTCTTAATGTTAATACTTTAACGTGGCTAACGTTTGACATCAGCCTTGTCATATTCACAGATGTTAGAACATAGAAGCTAGAACAAGTACCAGTCAACCGCGCCAAGCTCCAAGAACACCCAAATAACTTTCTACCATTTTGTATGCAGTGCACCCTTCCAAGTCAAATTGTTCTACTAAATTGAAACTCCTCCAGGGCATTAAATATTACGTTGAAAACCAAGAATATTTAATATTTTTATCCCTTTAAATAGTGATTTTGCTGGCTGGATTTTTTTTTCTTTTTTTTTTTTTGAAATTTAATTGTTTCTCCTGTTTTGAGGTGATGGGGTGGAAGTACCATGCCGGGTTGGGGTTGATTGGAACTGTTGTGTTGATATGGGTTGCTTCTGCAGAGATTACTCAGGTTGGATATATTTTGTTCATTTATTAGTTTATTGGTATCTGAATTTTTTCTTTTTTTTTTTTCTTGAATTTGAATGATGTATTTGTTATTTTTTCTTGGTTAATTGTTACTATAGCTTTTCTGATGGTAATTGATGCATGATCTCCTTGTAGCTGTGCTAGGACTAATTAGGTATGTTTCAGGCATGCAAGGTTAGCTTAGTTGATTACCAGTCATGAAATGTTAGAAATTGTTGGAGGGTTTATTCTCTCTCTGTCTTCCCTTCCCCCCGCTCCCACTCCTTCCAACCCTTAATTTCAGTATTTTTTAGGTGGAGGTAGCAATTTTTAAGAATTCATATGAATTTGGGTGGGACAAGGGGCCTGATGTTAATACAAAAAGTTTCTTGTATGGTCTTCACATGGACTTATAAGAACAAAGAAAAAAAAGTAAAGAGAAAAGAATTGTTGATTGTAAAAGCAAGAAAGTCAGTTTTAGAAATGTTGAAAGGTGTATTCCAGAAAAAGAAAAGAAAAAAAAAAGGGACATTGCAGGAGGCTAGATGTTGTCAACAAGTCGAAGATTAGATGTCAATCAAACATAAAGAGAGAAGGGGACGATGTTTAACATCTTGGAAAGCTGGATGGGTTGGGGAAGGAAGGGGATGGAGTGGACTGTACTGAAATGATCAAGGTTGATATTTGAGAAGTTCTAGGATAGTGGGTGCGTGGAAAGGAGGCAAACGATTAGAATTCTCAAAATTGAGGACGAAGCTTGACAAAGTTGCAGAGAGAGGGGTGATTTGGAGTTCCTAACATGATAAATGTTAATCTTGTTCAAATGTTTTACGATAGAGGATGTATAAAACTGTGTCGTAACCAGTTTTAGGCATTCCCACTTAGCATTTGCTGGTTTGGGCTTCTTCATGAATTTGCTCACTGATTGGTGGTATAATTCAGTTCCTGTGTAAAAAAAGTGAGGAAAAAAATTATTAGATGCAATCATATGCAATATGGGAGGTATATTAGAAGTCTCATGACTCGAATTCATTCATAGCCTTTGACTTGTGAATTGCATTTATTTTGTCCAGTGCTTCCGTGCATTTTGATTGCCTGGAATTAGAGTATTATAATGTCTGACGGGCATTAATTGTGGTGTTGCTTGTGTGGCTTCTTCAACTCTGGTATGTTGGATATTCCAAATTTCACCTGAGTAAAAGGTTATTATAATTTATGGATATCTTTCAGGTACAGCTATGGTGCATACCGTGCTTAACATTTCACTAAGAAAACAAAGGAAAAGAGAAGTGAGAAAGAGTGCTAGTTTTTGTTCTGCTTTTTTCTGTCAGATACCTGGTTATAGGAGTGATAGTACTGTTTTCATTGATTAAGTACTGGACATTGAACAAGTATCTTAGATGCCAATTAAGATGGACTTCTATATCCTTCTGTGAAATTCTTGTGTCTAGCCTATCTATTGCAACCTATAGTTTTCCTGGAGTCATGGTCAGTCTACATTCAGTAATCATTTGAGTTTAATCTTGTGCCGTCCAATTGTTTGCCCTTTGAGTTTGTTCTTTCTTGCTGCTTTTTAATTTTAGATACTGTAGATCAATCAGCTGGCTATATGAAGACATATTTGTCACCAGGCTGGGTATTGTTTCTAGGATAATTAGTCTCATCCTCTGATTTAATTGGGAACCAGAAAGAACTTCCCTTTTTATATACATTGGAAAGGACTACAATTCTTGAAATTTATGTCAAGTTCATATAAGTTTCACGAATGTCAAGTGCCAAAACAAATGCCATATTTCTTTTATTATTGGTTTAATATGTGATTTTATATACTTCTAAATGAAAGTTAACCTATTTGCGGGATTCGATTTGTGCATTAAATCTCTAAAGTCAAGCACCTGCAACTTCTTGCAGAAAATTTTTGCTCAGTATAGACAACCGTTTGCTCTTACTTATCTGGGGGTATCCCTAATGGTGCTATTCCTGCCAATAGCAGTTTGTAAAGATTGGATTTTCCATTTATTGGGCAAGAGCTCGTCTACTAAGTTTTACGGGGACAATCTACTCATAGATCCATCAATTGAACTGGATGTTCCTCTAAGAGCAAGTGAAACTACCTTTGATTCAAGGGACATGTTGAAGAGCTGCGATCTTGATGATACAGACCTAAATGCAACAGAAGAAGTGCTATTGACGTTTGACCGAGATGATGAAATTCCTATACTTGAAAAGGCTTATAAACTTAGTTCGTGGGAAATTGTCAAATGCAGCTTTTATCTTGCTCCAATATGGTTTGCGACTGAGGTAATTGTTTTATTCGATTGTTGGCTTCAAAATCACATCTTATCTTAATACACACCCTCAACACAGTTGTAGAAAAAGTCTTGACTACACTTGACTTATTTTAGACTTCAAAACATGCATTTTTTGCCTACCAATTAAGAATTTTAAAAAAGAAGGAAAAGAAAGGAGAAGAGGAGATAGAGGACTCCGTAGAACAGGGTTTAAGAAATTTCAACTCTTACCTTAAACATCTAAAGCTATACGCAGGCCATACTTTTTTAGTCATAACACAAAAAATCTTATTCAACTACAATTTGATATTTCCACATTCACAAAGTAATCTTTGAAAAGTTTGCAAAGTGGTAGAGAGGTAGCAATCAACCTAAAGGATGGCTTGCTATTTGTTAGAAAAATTGTTTTCAATAGACTTGTATCAGTGCAATATTGATGTTTTTCATGTGATGTAAAACAGTTTTGACTCGTATCAGTGAAAATGAGTTTTGTTTGGCCAATAATTGTTATCCTAAGTTGCACAATGAAGCTTTTCAACATTTTGTTTGAACAAGTAAAAAAGGTGCTAAAGAGGTGGGAAATGCAAGTATTTAAATGATTCTCTTAAAAGTCAGCCATATGCACTGTTGCATGAACTGTGCCTACCATCTGTACATATTGATGCTGGATCCTTTAGATTATCCGTTAGATGACCAACCATGATTGTCCATTAAATGTTGACCACTTTGAAACTTTTGCAGTATTTATCAAACTCTGCCCTTGCTAATACTAGTGTGGCCAATACGACAGTGTTGACTTCAACATCAGGGCTCTTCACTCTATTCTTTGCAGCACTCATTGGTCAGGATTCCATAAATGTTGCTAAGGTTCTTGCTGTATTTGTTAGTATTGCTGGTGTTCTCATGACCACCATTGGGAAAACATGGGCTTCGGATGAAATGCTGAGTGCCTCTCAGTAAGTATTATTCGTTGAAAGCTTTCTACATTTTCCCCTCAACAATCATGTACAATAAATTGCTCCCATATTTTATTTTTTTTTTGGAAATTCTCTTTGTTAAGTTGCATCTTTGACACTTGATTTCTCCATATGGTGTAGACTCTTTTTTAGTATTTCACCTTAGTGACTTCTTCCAGAAGAATATCTGGCAAAATAAATGTTTTCCCAATATGCAAGCCCTCGAAAAATTTATGACAAGTTCTCCAAAAAAAGTGGAAATCTCTGAAAAACAAAGCGAACTGATGGAAACTAGATTACTATATGGCATTGACAATGGTTTGAACCTAAATGCTTAGTGGTCAAACTTGTTTATAGTACGATCTTATGGTGTTTCATTATCTGATGTGAACTCAACTTCAATGAATAATGGATGTAGTAATAATCAAACCAAACATATTGTATAAAAATGTACACCGTGTCAGAAATATCAAAGATTTTTTTTTACTGAAACACAGACGGTAGGTGAAAATCTCGAAAGTTGGTACATATGTATGAAGATATATACGGTCATCTTTCTTTGTCAGTTGCCTCCATAATTAAAACTCTCACAACTAGCGGTGACGTTTCTTTCTACCCTCAGGAACTTTGCTCATCCCAAAAAGTACCATTGTTGACAATCACTAATTCTTTTTAACACAATGTGATGGATATCACATCAGTTGTTAACTTGGCATGTATTTCTAACACATCATCTGTCATGCTCTGAACCTAGGCATTTCTTGACAGTGCACAATTACATATATGCCCATTTTCATGAAAACCTTGGACAGTCTCATGCCTACAAGGCTACCAATCCCAAACTTAGCCATATGGAAGCTTATCATAAATACACACTACTGTCACCCAATCCTTTTAATAGGACATTCTCATTTTCTGCCTAGTGTTGATTTGTCTCTTTTTGTTTGGCACTATCTCAGTCCTGCCAAAACTTTGTGAGCCTCCTAGAATAACTGACCAGAGATTTACCTCAATGACCATCACTTTCCTCAGTATAAGTAGTGGAAAGAGTGTATTAACTGGCAAGAAATCCCATTCAGAATTTTCATAGCTTTCGTATTTGCAAATGCATGCATCTGAGTCAAAACATCAGGCCTACTTATAACTCGCCTGCACCTAGGGTCATGCTGATTCTTTGAAGCAAGTCTTTCTTGCACTTTTTATGTACTATTTGAATAAATACCACTAGGCTTTGTTTCACTTTCTATATTTGGACTGATTGAGGTTCCGCATGTGGTTGGGCTGCTGGACAGTTAGCATTCCGCCATATTCAAGATGTTAAAACTGCAGAGCTCTATTTTTGTCAAGAAGATTACTAACTGGTGCATACAGTGTAGATCTGAAGTTTCCAAAGTGAGCTCTTGTAAATCTTGTACCTGAAGAAGGAAGTAAAAGGAATGTTTTGAATTGACAAAAAGCTATATGACACAAATCATAAACATGCAAAGTTCTGAGTAATATACTATAAATTATAATAATCTAGTAGTACTGAATACATGCACTAAGCACCCATGCTTGTCATTCACCAGCTAATCATTTTTCAGTAGAGTATCCTCGCAAGTAACACACTTTATTTTCACTTAACACTTGCATTATTTCCCTTATACTGGCATTCTCATGTCAGGACCCAATGGTTATGATTTAATTTGCTTTTGAAGACAGATTATCAAGTAATATTTTGAAATGCTTTTATGACAGTGTTAGATATTACATTTTTTTTTAATGAAATATATTCAGGTATAGCATGTGTCTCTACATTTTTATGTTCATGATATCATCCCGTTGTTAACTATGCTTTCCAAGCACAAACCACGGGGGTGCTAGGATAAAGTTTCTCCCATATTGTTGTTTCATGTAGTGTACATTTTCACTTATCTTTGAATTTTTCCTATAGAATGAGGAGGCTTTTCCTCATATAGGACATTTCCAGAAAATAACGTTGTGATTGGAATTTACCATGCGAATTCAACAGCAGAAGCCTCTTCTATGTCTTTCCACTAAAGGGCAAACAGAAAGAGAGAAACCAAAGCTTTTACTCTCAACCATAAGAGTTACCTAGACTTTTTTCTTATTAGTCAAGTGGTAAGCTAGGGCACTATTTGACGAAGCAAATATACTTCGGAAAAATAGTTCACGTAGCTCAGCTGGTTAGAGCAAAGGACTGAAAAGGTAGCCACTACAAAGAAGTTCTGGGAGCTTAAGCTAGCTCATATTGGTCATGAGTCGAGAACAGGAATTGAATTTATCCTTCGCCTCCCTCAGCTCCTCTTAAGAAACTTGAAATTGGATTGATGACAAAAGAGAATCCTGGGTCTCCATTGGGCCCTCTTATCTGTTGCTTCTCTGAGCTTGCACAATACGTCCAATCGATTAGAATTAAAAAATTCTCTCCCTATTGTTACAAGCATACGATTCATGGGGAGATAAAGAAATAGATCTAGCTGAGTGCCTGTGGAACTCCTGTTGATGGTTCAATCAATTACTTCATTGGAATGTTTGCTAATGATTTTATTAAAATCTGGCCCAAATCCTTTTTTCCTTATTGATTTTATTCTTTTCTTTCAACTTCCAAATAAAAAGATCTAATGTTTATTCAAGTTCCTAGTAAATACCAAGCAAGATTTCATTGGTTCGGTCTTTTGTTTATTTGGATCATAAAAATTATCGATTTGAAAAGGCTGTAAGAAAAGATAAATCAATTTTTTCCATGTTTCATAGTATGCTTAACCAACATGGCGACAGTCATGCAGTAAACAGAGCTACTGATCCATGCCGCTACGAAAGACATTGGAAATCTAAACTGCCTGGAAGTAACCACTCAGTAGCATTGAGAAAGGGCAGATGTATAGAACTTTTCGACGTGATAGTATTAGACATAACACGATCCATTACTTTATGAGGGAAAAAAGTCCACATCTATTCTTTCTTACAATTTCTTTGTACTAACATGACTTGCATGTCTATTTACTTGACAAGTCCAGTTTATGTGCTAGATCTTAATAAGATCTTCTTGCCTGATCGTCCTAGATTAGTTTTAATATCTAATTGCTCAAGAGGTCTCTGCTTTTTCCTCTAGTATTTCTTTATTGTTCACTTTATTAATTAAATTTGCTTTACATTGCCTAGGAGTAAAAGACATAGCATCATTGGAGATTTTTTTGGTCTTCTCTCAGCAGTGTCCTACGGCTTATTTACGGGTATAGAATATACTTTCATCGAGAGGTTCTGTTTATTTATTTTAATTTATATTTTGCTTCGGTGAAGTGGACGACTTTTTCTAAATAAATGCAACCTCAAATCCAGTGCTACTAAAGAGATCTGCTGGATCAGATGGAGAGAGAGTTGATATGCAGAAGATTCTTGGATATATTGGACTTTTTACTCTTCTTGGCCTTTGGTGGATTAGTAAGTGACAAGTAATGCATTCCCTGCAGAATTTTGTGTGGCTAAAGAGGACTATCATGCAAAATTTGGAACATAGAATTACTACATTAGTTTTGGCACAATGCAATCACATTTGTATGGATTTTGATGTTAAGTTGGTGGAAAAAAAGGCCAACTAATTGGGCTTTAAGATGTCCTGGTTCCACAATAGTACATCGTACAATGAGGAGCCAACAATAGCATTTCACAATAGCCTTCTAGAAAGGAGATTAATACTGATACTGTTCCTATGCTAAAATAAGGAACATCCAAGTCATCACACCATCTGTACTTTTTAAGTGGTCATACATCCATAAAGTCCTGTACTTGTTCAGTTTTGCTAAAGCTTCTTCCTCCATAGAACAGTTTTAGCTTTTAGACCACTGCACTATCTTCGTTATTCAAAAGGAAATCCAAATGCTCATTGTTTTTTCCCGTTTTTTTCCCTCCAAACACTGTCTCCTTTTAAGTTCATTTAACTTTTAACTACATTGCTTTATTTACTCTCGAGTTATGTTTTTTCAGTATGGCCACTTAATGCTCTTGGAATAGAACCGACTTTCGAATTTCCAAGTTCAGCATCCATCAAAGAAGCTGTGCTGTTAAATGGCTTAGTGGGGAGCGTTATTTCAGATTATTTATGGTATGGTCTACCTTTCATACTATTACAAGTAGTTAGTCTTTTACATTATATATGGTATATTTTCATAGATATCTTCTGTGTCTTGGTTAATCTGCCTTGGCTCTTGGTTCCAGAAATGTATTTAGTGTATGAGAGATATTTATTGAAGTTCTATAACTGGGATATGTAAACAAAGAACTTTTGGTTTGACACAATGTCAAGTGGCTTATGCCACCAAAGCACTTCACTATAATACATTTGCCTGGAAATTCTACAAAAAAGCAGTTTAGTCATTTATGGTCTAAAAGGTAACAGGAAAATTAAGACCACTGGAGTTACATTTCCTTCTACTAAGGTAATGAATAGAATAAAGTGCTGTACTGGGTGATTTGTGAGTAGATCAACATCACTGGATCTTCAGTTGCAGTATTTAGTCAAAGCAACTTCAGATCTGTTTTCCCATTCATAGGACTTACTATTTGTTTTTTTTTTTTTGTGTTTTTTTTTGGGGGGGTGGGGGGGGGGGAAGAAATCATGTGTTTTAGTAAATGTGGACATTTATCTTTTTGATATCCTCCAAAAGATATGCTACATGGACAATGTATGACAAGTTTAATACAGCAGAAGATTTATAGAAATCAGAAGTTGTTTTGCTACTATAAAATACAACTTCAAACTTGACCAATAACAGAAGCTAACTAAGAGGTAACCTTGCTTTCAACTTTCAGGGAAAGCCCAACACAATGTCACTGAATTTAATCAACAACATTCATTTAATTCCAGTATAATTTTTGTCACAGTAAGCAGACCAGAGATCGGAAATCATAGTTATGGCTTCACGAGATGATTAAGTGGTTCCTGCCACTGATGTTTTGACTAACCTATGGTATTTTCTATTAGTTTTCTGCTTTTGAGCAAATTAATGAGCTAGTACCTGTTACTTAGCTGGAAAAGCAGAAGTTAATAAAATGTATAAGGTATATCTACATGCATAAAAAAGAAGTGAACAAGAAAAGAGAGAGATTACAGGAAAAGGATTCCAACCATGTAAATCCAATTTGGAGTTTTACATATTTGGTAGTCTTCTTTTTTTAGTTCTTCCCAAAAAAGCAGGGAAAATTTACTGGAGATACAGATAGAAAAAAGACAGTATGCTTTGTGTTTTGCGGTTTGTCATATGTGAAATTTTAATAAACCATCTGAGTCTATGCATTTCAGTATTTCCTTCATGCATAGGTTATAACAATTAATGAATCTCCAAATGAATCCCTCATCCTCTCTTCGTGGCTATGATTTTCTATTGTAGTTGTCTCACAAAGAATTTCATGGCCACAATTTAAAGGTGAATTACCAAATTTCATAAGGCACTCTTCTTCTTTTTTCTTTTCAAGGTGCTTAATCTCAATATTTTTATTTGAAATTGTTCTCATGAGAATTAGTTTTGGCATGTCTTTGCAAAAAATTAACTATTATGTATACCTATTGAAAACTATGTGGCTGCCAAAAGTGATAAAAAAATAACAGGGCTAATATGTATTCATTCGTGTTTAGTTAATCAACCTAGGAAAAAAGAGAGTGAAAAAACAAAAAACTAAACCCCCACTTGAATTAAAGCAGCACTATGAAAAGGATAGATCTTCTTGTTCGGATTTCCTAACTTGTCGTTATGAAACGACTGTCTCCCTATGGTGAAAGATGGAAAGATCTACCTTAAATAATGGATGTTGGTTAGATTGTGAGTAGGCAAATTGTTCGAGGTAGTCAGCTCTCTTGTTGATTAAGCTTTGCAGGTAGCAATAACTGCTTTTGATTACCATTTGTATTCATACGTGCCTACTAGCTCTACTCTTTGGAGTAGTCTTCTGTTATTTCAGTGCCTTACGAGCTTGATTTAAGGATATTTTGTATGTTTGACTTCAAGCCATGCTTCTATATTCTGATGTTTCAATTTGTATTTTGCTTCTACAGCAAGCTGTTAGCCCCATGTTAGTGACTAAGGTTGTGAATTCGATTCATCTTAGCTAAACTTTAGCACAAGATTCTAATCACAACTGGATTAGCTTATTTTACTTGTGCAATTTTGTCTTTCCTATTCAATCAAACTTCCAGTTTTCTTTTATATGTCCCCTCCAACATTGTGGTACTATTATGGATTTATCTAGTGTTCTCTATGAAACAGGGCGCTTTCTGTGGTGTGGACTACGCCATTAGTCGCGACACTTGGCATGTCCTTGACAATCCCCTTGGCAATGCTGGCTGACATGCTTATCCATGGCCGTCACTACTCTGCAATCTACATCCTTGGATGCGTCCAGGTTTAGTTAACTTATTTTTCTGAACTGACTTAGATATGGTGTATTCAGTTTGTAACTTACTGATAAATGGAGGACGCAATCAGGTGTTTGCAGGTTTTGTCATTGCTAACCTCTCTGATAAGTTTGCGGGTAACAGAAGATGAAGTGCTTTACCAACTACATGACCTTAACCTTTTGACAACGCTGGAAGAAAGCTAATTTTTCCTAGACAGAATATTATCTGTGTTAATATGATTAGGTGATAGAACTATATTCCCATTTTTTTTGTGGTTAGTATGTAAAGTGTGTGAGGGCTGCAATGTTATGCATGCCTCTTTCTTCAACATCCTATTGCTAGTGTTAATTAATGTGTAATCTTGGATACTTGTTTTAGTATTCTGGAACAATGTTTGGTCCTTAGTCCTCTTCTGATGGAAAGCTGCAATGTGAAGTAAATCCTCTAGCTTATTACCAGCAATTCTCATAATTGACCTACAACTTTGTCCTCCTCCTTGCTCAGCTGGAGGATATGAAATGCCAGAAAGATTGGATCCTCAATGGATCGTTTTATTTCTTATTAGACGACAAAATACGTAGAAAGCTAGAGATATTCAAGTAAATCACAATGTTTTACTTCTTTAAAACTTTTCAAGATGAATTCCCAAGTTTTGGATAATAAAGGGGGGTAAAAATAATCTTTTCAATGCACCCAATTTGAATTCTAGTTTGCTTCAAAGTACAGTTTTAACTAAACTTTTCTTTGACTTTCCATATTCTTTAATTATTCGGGATAATATCAGAAACCTCCCCTGAGGTTTCTAACAATTTCACTCACCTCCCTTCAGGTTTGAATAATTACACTAACTTCCCTTTATGTAGTAAAATGACAATAATATCCTTCACTTATAAATAATTTCCACAAACAAAAAAACTCTACAATTACAACTAATCTGTTATCCTAAAATAACTGCTGTCTCACAAACTAAACTCTTGTTCTATCTCTCCGACTCTTTCTCTTATCTTCTTTCTTCTACATCTCTTTTTTTGCAAATAGACACACTCTCTCTTTTTCGTTTTTTTTTATAAGTATTCTTGAATTGAAATTACAAAATGATAAGTTGTTGGATCATATTTGTTATCAAACTAAATGAAGGTGAAAAAGATGGTGGTGATACAGAGTACATAAAGAAAATAAAAATGATAGCTAAAAAAGGAATGTGGATTAAAGAAGGTTATGATATTATTCCAATTGTGTAAAAAAGAATTTTGAGATATAAAAACTATAATCAGATTTGCCTGGAGACATGGGATGCGGTCTCTAGTGTTGCTTTTGGTTACTCCGTGTTGATATTCTTGGTAGGTTGCATTATTTTAGTAACAACAAGGTTGAATAGTGACATTGGTCAATTCAAACATTGAATTTAGGCAAAAAAAAAAAAAGGCTAAATATTCGGTTGAATGCAGATTTTAATTGTCACAGTTGATTTGCATGGGAAGCTTTGGGGCGGCAATAGTAGGATGTCAAACTTGTAAGAATATGGGAATTAAGGTGAAGTGGTTTATTGAGTTCGTTAAAGTGGTGGTCATGTTGTTTATAATAGTTGCAATGTGAAAGAAATTTATTAGTTTGTTTTTCCCCCTTCTAAGTAATAAAAAGGGTATTTTAGGATTTTTGAGGAGAAAGTTAGCATATTGAGTCTATATTGTAACTGAAATGCTAATTATAGAAGAGGTAAGTGTAAATTTTTAAACTAAAGAGAGCTTCTTGCAATAGTCAGAAACCTCAGGGGAGGTTTCTGAAATCATCCCTAATTTTTATGTGAAGGTTCAATTTCAATTTTTAAAACATATTAGCAAAATTACCATTTTCTTGGAGTTCCAACCATGGAAGCATCCTAGCCAATACATTAGTTTTTAAGTTTCTTGGCGCATGCCCCTGAAATTGCATTGTCAAATTCATTTTGAGACCTTAGTTTTCATGTTTCAAAATAAGATTACGAACGGCTCAACCCACGTTTTTAAATCTTGATTAGACTACTTACAAGACACATTGTCTAAATCTTGGATGGACACATAAATCCTACACTTACAAACCACATTGTCAAATCTCGAATGGACACATGACTACTACTCACGATTAGATTTGGCTAAAAGTCTAGACAAGTTAAAACTAATGGTTAAATGCCAGGAGGATACTTATGATTTGCTGAATGTTTAAATTAACTCTCTATGGTTTAGAAATCTATATTCTAATTATTTTTAAATAAATTGAAACACGGACAGAAAATGTCTAAACTAAGGGTTATTTGTAATTTGTCGAATGTTTAATTTAACTTTCTATGGTTTAGAAACCTACATTTAACTACTTGTTGTTTTAAATAAATTGGAATTTGGACAGAAAATGTCTAAACTAATGATTACGCGTGAAATATCAGAATTGTCCTTTATAAATATTAAATAATAACACTGGAAGCCTCCTTATCCATTTAGTCTTGTAATCTATTGCTGCTTCTGCGTTGCTTCCATTCACCAGCAACCTACTAGAAGCTAGAAACCGTCAACTTCGGCCAGCATTGGATTGGCCCAAGCCACCTCTCTACCTTTCACGCTCAAAATACACAATGCACAGACTGAATCCTCACAAAAAAAATATATAGAAAAAACAACAAAGATGAAAAGGAAATAAACAAAGAAAGACCCTCGAGCTTCAACTCTCCTGGCTCTCTTTTTGTTCTTTTTTCTTTCTCTCCCAGAAATAAACAAAAGGGAAAATGGCCATTTTTATCCCTAAATTTTTTTTCTGTCGATTTAGTCCCTAACTTTTATTTTTGGCCAATTTAATACATGAATTTAATTTTCGGATCCAATTAAGTCCTTCTATGGCGCGCCATCACCTTTAGCTCCTAATTTAACATTAAACAAGGGTATTTTGGGAAATGCACATTATCTCTTCTCTGCTACCAACCTCTGCCACCAACAACCCATCTCTTTCTTCCTGATCGGCGATTTTGGAATACCAGCGACACCAATAAAACATAAACACTAAAAATATTTTATTGGGAAAATGGCCATTTTGTTCATGCTCAGGGGGTCTTGTTGTTTCAAGTTCTGCTGAACTGATATGGATGTACAGAAAGCCAGAAGCAGAGTTGCATTCTGGACCACGAAGCATTCCACGAATATCTGCACCAACTGTTGGGCCTTCTATTGCACCACCACTACCAGTTCAAGCGCCTTATTTCCAACCTCTTAATTTTCCACCAAATAGTTCATGGGATATGCGTGGTTTGAACAACCATATGCCTAGAAATCCAATTTCACCTTGTGTAATGCCGGATGTTCATCTCGTGTAAAGCCATCTTTCCTTGAGCGAACTTCCAAAGATGAATCTCCGCTGAACCCTCTTCCAAAGTAATCAGCATCGCTGCTGCCGCTGAACCCTCTTTGAAATCTCAAAATCGTGAGTGACTCTCTCTCAAAGCTGAATTTGTTCTCTTTGATGCATTTGACCCAAATATATAAGAAAATTCCTTCGTGCAATCTGATAATAGTGTTGAACAAAAGGAACAATCAGATGGCTCTGGTTCTGATCCAGAGCATCGTGGGATTCTGCTGCCTGGAGGCCACCTTGTATAGCTTTTGGAGAGTGAAGATGTTAAAGGTTGTTTTCTTATTACTTAGAGCAGTTTATTCTTATTGGTCTGAAGTAATTTGCGTGTAATATACTTATTATCATTTGCTTTGCAGATTTTAGCCACATCTGCAAACCCCTTTTCAAAAAAGCAACATGGTTGAGACCTAAAGCTACAAGGTCATGCTCCAAAGAAATAAAAAGCTAGACCTTTAAGGGCTGAAATATTGGGGAACCATTCACCTACATTTGCAGATTTCCTCTTCTATTTTCTCAATTATAATGTAAACTCAAAGGTGAATGGAAAGAGAAGGAGAAGAGAAGAAGGAGGAGATGGGTTGTTGGTGGCAGAGATTGGTAGCAGAGAAGAGATAATTTGCATTTCCCAAAATGCCCTTGTTTAATGTTAAATTAGAAGCTAAAGGTGGTGGCGCCGCCGTAGAAGGACTTAATTGGATCCAAAAATTAAATTCATGTATTAAATTGGTCAAAAATAAAAGTTAGGGACTAAATCGACGGAAAAAAAGTTTAGGGACGAAAATGGTCATTTTTCCTAAACAAAAATAACTTTTTGTTCTTTTTTTTTTTTTTTTTTTTTTTTTTTTTTTTTTTTCTTTTCTTCTTTTCTTCTGGTTTTTCCCTTTTTAAACTTTGATGGAAGTTAAAAGGTTAAGGCTGAAATTTTAAATTTTCATGATAAGAATCAAATGGATGATGCCGATGATGGGTCTTGGGATTTTAAAGGATCTAGATGATGGTGAATGGGGAATCAAAATGATGAAAGGTGATGAATTGATAGCTCCTTAGCCACAAGTGATATGAGAGTGTTCGAATTGGTGCTTTTTTCCCTATAATTATTTGTTGACTTTTGTGCAAATTCAAAATACCAAATAACTGTTGGATTAGTAGTAAATTATTCCAAATAACTATTTGAACAGCACAAATGATTATTTAATCTCTTATTGACTCTTTGGATCCAGTCAGGTGCACGACTAAATTGACTAGCATATTGAAAGTTAGACTAATACCATGCATATCAGGACAAACAACCAACTTACAAAAATGATCGGGGAAATTACTACGCCACTAATAAATGAAAAATGACATGATAGACACTCTAGCCACATACAAACTTGATTGTCTATTATTCCTACTAAGAAGAAATTCTTTGGCACACGTTGCACCCTATTTAGGAACCACAAACGGGTAACAAAAGGAGCAAACTACAACATCGGTTGATCTGTATGACAATTGATTATGACTTGTTAGCACATTCTCCTATGCTACACTCCATACATTTCACTCGCACTTGAGTCCCGCCTTGTTTCCCTGCTGTAACTTCAGCTCAAGAAGCATTTAATGGCTGAATATTTGGCATTGCAGCACCTCCATCTTCATGCTTCAATCCAATGTTCTTGCTCATAGAATTGAAAGTGGAGTTGCCTAGTTGGTTCAACTTAAGAAAGTCGTGTAATGCACAACAAGCTATAACAACACTTATTTGAGTGGTCATGCAAAAATTAGGAACTAGTCTCCTTAAGAATGCAATCTCTACTTCAATACTCCAAAGGTTAGCTCAATGACATTTCTAACCTTTGAATGGCACGTATTAAATCACTTCTTTTTGAGCCCCTAATCTACATTCTTGTATGGAGGTGGAAACTCAGGAACATTCTTGTGTGCAACATTGACAAGGTACTACTTGCCTAAAATATGAATAGTTTGGCATTAGTGATAATACTCAATGTCCCTACCACCAAATTAGGATTACATAAAGCAATGAGCTAAAGTTAGCATATCACCCTTGGGTAGCATTGGAAAATCAGATGGGTATGATAGAGCATCCT